ATAATGAACATGTTTCATGTGGGACAATAGAGAGAGAATAGGAGGCAGCGAGCGACTTTGCATCATTCCTCTCTCTGGCTCGCAGGCATCCTTTTGTTCTCTCTCTCTCTCGAGAAGAACTTTTGCTCCCATGCGCGCGGCACTGCAAGAGCTAGGATGGGGACTTTTCGCCTAATACGCGCGTGCGACATGGCAACGCACTCTCTCTATGCCCTGGGCAAAAAGTTTGCGGCGGATTTAATTTGGATTCACCTCTCATTGCCAGCAGTTCAAGTCGTCTAGTTTCCTTGGTATATCATTTTAATTTTTGTAAAATACATAAACTGCTTAAGTAATCAGTTCTAAAGCTGAGGAGTTAATTTTTACAAAGTAATTGGATTGACAGTAATTAACAGTTAGAAAAGAACGAAAATTTTAAAATTTATATATTATATAAGTATAATTTCAAATCATGATTTTTCTTCATAAATAAATTTTATTATTGAATATATCTTTATTATTAAAAAAAGGATAAATATTCCAATCAAAAAAGGAAAGGGGAGAAAACTAGTGCGAAAGTTATATTTTAAATTTGAATCTGATTTATTAATTTTGTAAGTTCTATAGCTGTATTATTTTCCTTGAAACTTATTTATCATAAATAGCACTCATCAATGAATATAATATTTTTTTTTTTAAATCTGTAGTTAAAGTTATAGTTAAAACACCACTGCTTAAACAAATTTCTTTGAAGTAAGTTCTAAAAACAATATATTTTAAAAATTACACTTGATCTTATAAGGATAATGGAGACTTGTAATAATTATTCAACTACATCCCCGTTTTGACATGAAACAAGACCTAACAGCATAATAATATTTTAAAAATTGAATTTCAGAAAAAAGCTGAAAAGGACTAATTGGCACGGCACGTCATATAGTTGTGTGCAGCACAGAAATGGACTAATTTTTTTCAACGGTCCCCACATCTGGTAATAATTCATGGGTGCGCATTTTAGTCTGCCTCGGGGTGAAAAAACGGAGCCTAGAAAAATGTCGCCGAACTGAAATGGCGTGTGACGCTCGGGTAAACAGCATGAAATAAAATATCGTGTCGCGCGAGTAACCCGGGAGTCGCGCACAAACTCACGAGTGGGAGACATTAATCCGAGCGTCTAAATAAGCATCTCGAGAGTTGATTTGTGGCTCTGAGTTATTGCGCCAAGCTCGCTAAAGGCCATAACTTTTGTTTTTAATTAGTTATTTGACTGCTGCGTTTGCTTCTGCGTTTCCAAATAATAATTTGTTGTTGGATCGCGAGCGCGCCATAAATTTATTGGACTTCCATTCACCCACCTATATCTCGGAGGAAACGAAATTAAAAGGCGGGAGGAGGAGCAGCAGCCCGAGACTTTTTATATTTATCTCTCTTTCCTTTCTCACGATTGAGGCGAACGAGCGAGGAATTCGCTTTGAAGAAAAATCAACTCTACTCTGCGCGCGGTCTTGGTTTTATCGCCAAGCGAAAAGCTGCCTCATTAGCATGGCGATCCGCGAGACTTTTTTATAATTATCGGCCAATCGGAGCAGGGTCGCAATTAGCGGGTGCACCGCGTCTATTCTGATGCAGTCTCTCGCTGTCCAACCTGTCTTTTCGTGTCGTGGACAGACCTCGTAAACATATAAAGTCTGAAATACTCACTGCGAAAAAAAACGAGATAAAAATAAGTGGCAGAGAGCAATCCAAGATTAATATCAGATTTATACAATTTAATGCAAAGTGGAATACTTAAAATAATAACAAAACTGTTAAATTCTATAATTAAGTTATAGAATTATTATAATTTTTCAATAAATATACTTAACGCATTATTGCTTCTTTTGTAAACGTTGAAAAGTCGTCCCAAGAAAAAGCTGCAGTTATTTTCATGACAGATAAATTTGTATTTTTAATTTATAAATCAGAGTTCAATCTTTTTTTTGCGTCTGATGCCTCGCAGTTAGTTCCCTTCAGAGATGCGTCGATTCGCAGTTGCTTGCCGATAAAACTCGAAAGCGAGTGTCGATTTATCATGTTGGCGTTCGCTAATTACGCCGCGCGCGATAATCTCAAGCAGCTCAGCATTTTATCAGGCGTCGCCTGTAATTAACGTGCGACACTTTTCGCCTTTATTTGCGGTTATTTTTCAAGAGACGAGCGAGGAAAATTGGCGAAAGCTGTTCGTCGCCTTTGCAGCTGTGGTGGCAGATTGCTACTTAAGTTAACACCCTTGTTGAGGAGCATCCGTCATATTATTAAGAGAGCAGCACTTGGCCCAGGGCCAGACGCACCACACTGAGCAAACGCCGCTATTGTTTCTCTTCTTTTTATTGTAAAAGAGATCTGCGAATTTTCCTCTAAGCTCCACACAAATAAATTGTGGGTCAAGATAAAATGACGATTTGACCATTTAAGGAAAAAGTATCCAGTTTGATGTCACCGCTCAGGCATTTGGTCGCATATATATATTTTATATTGTCTTGAACGTGGATTCACGCAGCGAGAAGAATCCAATTTTGATTTATATTCAAAGTTTGGTGGAGACAGACAAGAAGAGAGCAAAGTGCGTTCGCGTGTTCGTTGCGCCTGGCATTCCATTGTTCTCCAGTCGCATAGGGGCATAAATCACGTCGTCGGATTCGGTTTTATTAATTACGCCGTACCTGAGAAACTATGTTGTATAAAGCGCCGTGCGTTCGACCCTTTTGGAAAAAGGCAGTAAAATGTTTTTCAAATGTCAATAATTAATTGTTTTCCCATGGTTTATAAAAATATTAAATAATTGTATTAATAAAAAATAGTTACTTCAATTAATTTATTATTTAATTTTTTTGTTACTCAGGATCTGTAAAAAAATTGTTATTTATTTGTGCCTCTAGTTCAGTTTGAAAAAATCTTTTAAATTTTGAGTGTTATTTATTGGCTATATAAGCAGAAAATACTTATCATTCTAGGCAAGTACAAACAAGGAAATAAATCTCCATTTGGAATAAATTTTCTCTCAATCGCAAGCAGGCCTTTTAGTTTTTTCCCCACTTGGAATAAATTGAGCAATTCGTTTCGAATGAGGATAATTGTTCTGAGGATATAAAAAGCATTGCTAATGGCGCCTGATTCATTAATGAAATCCTCAAACGGTCCGAGAGATTCTTATCTTTTTATTATTGAATCGAAAACGTGCAGAAGATATCCGAGCATCTGCGCGTTTGGCTCAATTTATTATGCAAATTTGACGCCGCCAGTTTCGTCCGGCCAAGAGAGAGAAAGAGAGGGCGGTTCGTCCTAAATCGAGAGCCGACGCAATCAATAAAGATTAAAAATCGGCCTATTTCGTTCTCTCTCGCGCGCGCGATTTTTCCTCTCGTTTTTTGCTTATTATTCACGCAGATGTTTGAAAAGTGGCTAGAGCGGCCTGCTTATATAAATTATTCGGCTTTTACTTTTCGCCACGGGGTATAGGGTTTCGTTCGCAGGAATTTCGCTAATTATTCATTGTCCGGTGAGCGCTCGCGCGCGGCGCACACGGGAATTAAAAATATTTTAAAAGCGCTCGGTGATTCCTTTGGCCATATTCGCCGCCGAGACTCGACGATCGTGTCACCGGCTAATTTATTTTTACGACTTGCTGAATAAACAAGGCTGAAATTTATGCACGGCTCTACCTTTAATAACTTTTGCGGCCGAAAGCAGCGAAAATATTCGCGCCGATCCTCTCCTTGTCCGTCTGCGCGCCGTTGATACGCGCGCCATATTATGGCCGTGCAAGCAGCCAACGCGCGGTTACATAATAAATTTTAATTGTTACCGAGATAAGCGCTTTAAATACACGATATAAATTCAATTCCACTTGTAGCTGCTATCAATTACGCCGCTCTCCGACTCAACTCCCCGTCCGATTCGTTCGCCCAAGAGAACGAGAAAAGAAAGAAAACTCTCTCGCTTGCTTGGTACAGACGTACACTTACGTGCTCCTTTTTAACCCACGATGACTCCCTCTTGTGCAAAATCGACCTTTGAGAAAGACAGTCGCAAATCTTTCCTCTCACAATCAATGAGAGAAATTCTATTTATTATGGAATTAAAATCTACAATATTGCATTTTGAAAACTATTAAAAGTTAGTACTCATTGGTACTCAACAGGTTTTATTGCAATTACAATTTTCAAAACGATAAATTTCAGGTGGCATTTTCATTATTTTTTACTTTCATTAAAACTTCAAATTTTTCTGAAATTTCTACTTAAATAAAAAATTCTGGGCCAAAGTCTTAAAATTATTATCAAATTTAGCATGTGGTTCTGTAGCCTATATTTATCATTCGTTTTTTTTATGATGCAACAAATAATAATCCTATGATGAAAATATTAAAAAAAAAAAAAAAAAAAAAAAAAACTTATTATTAACTTTTAATTTTATTAAGTTTTTAACTTCTGATTGCTTAATTTTGCGGCTCAAATTTGTTGTGAATTCATATTTTCAATAGACAGGTAAATTTTTACTGTAACTTGGGATCTTGGGTATTAGAATTAAAAATATTGTGGTAGAAATTCACGATCCAGGGTTGATTCATGGTTATTTGAATTTAAATTTTCTTTTCCTCAATGGGCTTATGAGATGTTTATATTTTAAGGAATAACAATATCTGCGGGCTGCTGCCATAATTTCATGAGCTTTGATAATATCATTTTGAAACGAATAGGTTCAAAACAATCCTTTATTAAAATAATTTTGCGCGTCAAACCATCAATTTTTACGGAAAATATAGCATAGAACAATCAATCATCCCTCAATTGCAGATTTTTACAAATATTTTAATTACTTTAGTTTAAAATTTTTTAATATAATTATGACAAATAAATAAAATTATACGAATTTTTTATACCAAAAATTTAAATATTTGCCAAAAAGCAACCTTCGGTGCATTTTTATAGAACTAATTTTTTTCATCTTTGTCTGTTCCATGTGCTGCTCTCCGTGTGCAGGATCCGTGCGTGGTAAGTGGTGAAATTTATTTGACAGGACCGCGCCTCAATCTCTTCTTCTTCTTCTTCTTCTCTCATTGCTCTAGGAAGATCGACTTTATTTATTTCGCTCGTCGCGCGCGCTCACGAGTTTGATATTCGTATTTCTTTTGCATAGCACGTCGAGTCGAATCGCTCGGCGGCTGTGTCGCGCGCACATTTATTTATATTCACCGGCCGACGGTGTAATAAGAGCGACAGAAACTTCGTATTTTATCGTGGCCTCTCTCTCTTGCTTTTTCTCTCGACGAGAAAGAGTGTAATGCACGCCGCGCATAAAATACGAACAAATCGCCGAGCGCGGCGCACTTTAATAAATTTATTATTGATAAAATGTTGCGCTGAATAAAATGGGCTGCCCGGTGTGCACGGCGGCCCATTTCCATACACACTCACTCACACACACGCGCGGCCCGAGATAAGAATTTTTATTACATAATCATGGCGTGTAATTTACATGAAATGGATATAAATTTCTTCCCTTTTTGTAATAAATTTATTTGGCCGTGTACAAGATTGAATAATGTATGCGCCGGAGAAAGAGAAAAAAATATATATTATTCCCTCTTTTTGCCCACTCGCCCATCGAGACCGAATAATAAATTTGGCTTTAATTTTATTATTAATAGTAAAAAGTACCTCCCGCGCCCACAAATTCTTTTTCTCTCATTTCTTTTATTTAAATCTATGAGAGCGAGTGAGTCTATAAAATTCTTCCCTCATTGCCTCTGTAATATTAAGATGTAAAACACGCTCTTTTATTCAATTCAATATCTCGAGTCGCCCAAAACGCTCAACGTGTGTTTTTCTTCTTTTCCATTTTTCATAAACGTGTCCCTGCGCCATCTGCTTGGTTGCTGCTGTGAACATCGATTATTGTTCTTCATGGGTGCTGCCACACATTGTGCTCCTAATAACAGAACGTGAGTATTAAAATCAATTTAAATTAAAAGTTATATTTATAATAATTTAAAAGCTCTTTAAAATTAATTTTTAATAACTTATGCGAACCAGTATTCAATATCATTATTATATGGCACAAAGATTATCCAAAATATTATTTTAAATTTTAATATTGATAGAATATCTCTTAATCAAAGTTGAAAATTTTCCTGGTTGAAGAAATTGCAAATTTAAATACTAATTTTATTGCTTAAATTTATTAAAAAATTAATTTTTAAAAATATCAGCAAAAATGCTCAAGTTTAGCAAACATTTTTATAAATGGTGCGAAATTTCTCCCTAAAAATCATTGTAAATTTAAATATTACAAAATTATCTCCAAATCAAAGTAAAGAAGTTTGCCTGATTGAAGAATAGAGCTATTTAGAACGCGATCAAAATAAGACAATGGATCAATCAATTTGCAAGGAGAAAAGAGGCTATTACTTTATTAAAGTGGCGTATTGTTGCGCCGATAAAAAGGGGCCAGATAATTTGGCTCTTCCTGCGCGCTGCTCCTCAGCTCAGCTGCCGGCGCGCGTTTTTCACCCAGGGCAATGCGGCGTAATTTGAACACTACCTCTTCTTCGTGATCCGCACCTGCCAAATTACCGACAACAAACGGCTTATTTTGCTGGACGATCGCGATGAACTAAAAATAGGAGAAAAAAATCGGTTTCCACTTGTGGCAAAAGAGTTGCTACAAAACGCTCTCTATTATATCCTGCACGTTGTTACATTTTTTGCCGCGGCTCCCGCATTTTTCACGCTAGCAAATTGGCGTGCAGTTTTTTCCTTCTTTTTATTACCTTGCTTTGCAACAAAATTTAAATTCGGGTGAAACACATAATTTATCAGATCGTGGCCCGTCACAATATTCTAGATTGGAGGAATTCAACGCGGCGCATTTCAAGAAAGAGTCGTGACGGCGCCGCTGGCGTCGTGCCCATAATAAAAAGCAGCGGCGACGCGAGGGCCACGTGCTATTTTGACAGCCGAGTGTCGCGAGCCTGACGTTTTAATAGGCGTAAGTGGTCCACTTAGTTTGAGTTAGGGGCACAGGTTCGAGATAAATAATCTCAACCGCCACTGCAGAGATCAACTTTGTATCCGCGTGCTCTCCACACCAGCATCTATAACAATAAGATTAGGGAGAAATTTTGCACAAGCTTAGAAATAGGATTTTTTATTATTACTTTTGCATTTCTAGTAAATATTATGAAAATTCATTATATTTTCTTAATTTAGCTGTACATCAATTGCATGCTCTTAAAATAATCTCATGTATTTATAATTAATATTTTCCCTGATTAATCTGATAACCAGAAATTGGGTTGATTTTTTGTGTGCAATACATAATCAAATTTTTATTTAACACAAAAATTATGTAGTGTATTAAACAGTATTAAAGGTGAGGCCTTGATAAATTGGATAATGCATCCTGCACAAATTTTTTTTCTAAGTTGAATACCCAAATTTTTATTCCCCTTTCTTAATTTTTAAACATAAAATTGAATGACAAAATTCAAGGCAATATTATATTCTGAATTTATATAAATTAATTTAATTTGTAATTTGATTTTCCTTTCTAATCATTATCTTTTTTCATGTTCTGTTCCTGATCTGATGCTGCCTTTTCAACAGTATGTAAGTACCTTTTTTTGAACTGTTACTTCACCTGAATTGTGCAAACCTCTCAGAGACAAAAAGCTCCGAGTCGTGATTTAAATGTCATGCACCTTTGATTGTGAAATTTTCACTGCGCGGATCGAACCAAATGCCTCAATCGAGACTCGTCGGATCCTGGTTCTTTCTCTCGTTCGTCGCGTTATGAATATAAAGTCAAGTCCATTTTTCTCTCGAAATGCATCTCTCGCGGACTCGATCGGCAGCCTGCTTAATAACAACTGGTCACGATTACATTAAGGATTCCTGTCACCACTCGCGCGCTTCTAACTTTAAGTGCAGAGCGCTTTCTAAATGACGAATGTGACACTCGCGCGCGGGGACTTTTCGCGCGGCAACACCTCCGTCTTATCAGTCACTGGCCCACTGACTCACTCACTGCGACACTCCATTAAAATATTGATGAGACCTCTCGGGGATAACAGAAGAAACGAATTGAACGCTTTCGCCTTGTGACACGTAAATATACATCACAATTTGATGCGGAGAAATTCTATATTTATTCTTATTGAATGGCCTCATTTTTTATCTCAATTTTTGCATCGGATTTTCCTTGCTGGACCGGAATTTCAAATAAATTTACTTCCTGTTTGCTGAAATTACAGCTAGGTTTTTATTTTTTTTTAACTAACTGACAGATATTTTTATAGTTAAAATATTATTTAATAATATAATCAAAATTGTAATTAAAATTTACATTAAATTTATCAGTACCTGAAAAAAAACTAAGCAAACTGTACTGATGTCCAACATCAATGAATTGTTATATTTGATGTTCTGTAAAGTCTGGGAGGTAGTAATTTATTTTCATCTGTATAAGTTTCTTGCCTTGTAATAAGTCAAACAATGATCATTCCAATATAATTTAATTCAACATCAATAGCTCAATGAAAATAGCGATGCAGTAAATATTCTTATATTTATTTTTAAATACTACTGCGCAAAATGATGACTCACCCAATAATTGGTACCGGAATACTTTTGGTGATTTTGATAAGTGAAAGGACATTTATTCGGCGCCAAAATAGAGAGCCAAATATCAAAACCCGTTTATTCATTTTACCTTTTTGATGAATTACACATTTTTTTGAGAAAATTACAAAACAGGTTTTGAAAACTAACCAGATAATATACTATATAATCAAGTTTTATCAATAATTAAAACGTAAAAATATAAATAAGTTTATATTTTTATAAATACTAATAATTAAAAAAAAAAAAAATATCTAAAATGTCTCAATTATTTGTAATTATGAGTATTTACTGAATCCAAAGAAGAAGCATTTCTTAAAAAGTTCGCTATGAATCCTATTTTAAAAATTACGACGTCAGCATAAATAGCAGTGGCTGGGATTTTGGGTGGTGCGTGGGCGCCTGGGCTGGAAGAAATATGAAGAAAAGTATGTGGTCTCTCCGCATGACTGGCAAGACAAACATATCTATCATCGCGACGAACAATGGGCCCCCTGCCGTCCGCGACTCTTCTCGTTTTAATCTCGAGCGGCTCAGCCTGATCGGAATCTGGCCGATATTTACAACTTTAATTAGCCCTAAGACGGTCACGACCGGGGGGATCGTGTGCGCGCCGCGTTCCAAAATATGCAGATCACAGTCCGATCCGTACCGATTGGGCGACTGAGATAAACGAAAAATAATTCTCCTCCCCCGCGAAGCCCAACTCGAAAGACAAAAGGGCGCAACCGAATAAAACAAACACACATTTTGACGACTCATACACGCCCTGCGGTGCAGAAAATAATTATTTATGCTCTGCTCGAATAAACTAACTTGTCGACGAAACTTCACACCGCTGCTGTCCGACATACGAAAAATTTGAAAAATCTGAATGCCGATGGAAAATGAGTGCGTGCGACTTCCCTCAACTCCGAGATCCCACCGTGGCTTGTTAGGTGATTTCCGCGCGTGCACTTGCCTTTCCAATATAGGTGTCGTAAAACATAATCGCGTATATGTAATTTATATATCAGTGGAAGCAGTTCAATTACACTTACACGTTATTACATGCCATGATGATGTTGATGAAAACATAACACCTAAAAAACCAGATGTGAGACCACTATCATTTTACAAAACAAGCCAACATAATTTAAATATAAGCATTTTTATTAATAAAATGCTTAAATGAAATTTGTGTGCTAAAGTTTTTTGTTTATTATGTGATTTATAGCATAATTATTATTTAATATTTTCAATATGTTTTAAATTTTATTATTCTAATATATATTTAAGTCCAATTTTAGACATAAAACTTTTTCCAATAATTTTAAAAATATTATTGTTACATTTTTTGAACTCTGCCTTAAAATTTCACTACAATTAGCATAGAAAATCTGGCTTCTTCTGCAATATTATGTTAATAATATGATAACAATTCATTTTATTATATTTCCTTTTTTCCTTAATTTTGGCATTGAACAGACTTAAGGTCATTGGCACCTTATTGACCAATGCAAACTGCAAAGACAACAATATGGTTCAACGACACGCACAGCACGATTCCCGAAATTCCCCATTGTCTCTTGTGCAGGTCAGCTGCCTTCTCATTGATTTCCAAATCTTTTTCTGAATTTAAATAAATTCACGCAGAAAATATAATCCCGGTTGTTTATCCCGTATTGCTTTCTCGTGTAAATTTTCTGAACTCGCAAAATTGCAATAAAAGATTTTGACCGTGGCGTGAACAGCAAAGAATTTATTTATTTTTTGCTTTGGATCACACATAATAATAAAAATAATCAATTCAAAACATGTCCCTGGAGTGATAAAGAGACATTATAGACTTCAAATTTCAATTTTAAAAAGTCTAGAAAACAAAAACCAGCTTTTTATGTTACTTTTTAATAGAGTTATACATGATTTGATCCGATTATTGTCTTGAATTATTATTTTATTTGGAAACACAAACAGAAATTCTGGAATGATTTAAATTCTTTCTATAAAATTACCAGCAATCTAATTAATTTAATACGCTTGCTTCTTATCTTGAGTGTCTTTTTATATTTGATTATGTAATTTTTGCTATATAATTTTAATCACAAAGCTTACACTGAATTGGCGTTGGTCACAGAAATAGGCAAAAAATGCAGTGCTGAATTAATTATCAACGGTTGGCGCGCGGAGAGGGTCATTAATGGCGATTGGCTTGATTGCGGCCGTGTTCGTACGGATATTGATTGAAGGCCTGTGACCGCCCGAGAGCGGCCGGGCCAAACGAGGTCCCCGCGGACGCGACTCATCCGACGAGAGACGCGCTTCGTATTCGCGCGTCCGCACACCGCACACGCAGCTCTACGGCCAATTCAATTATCATATCGCACGCGAACCGCCATAAGCTCGGTCTCTCTTGTCCACACAGCCATGTGTGTGTATGTGTTTGGTTGTATAATAATTTACACGCGTATACATACACGTGTGGGTACTTCTATCGCGCGCGATCTGCAATCGTAAATTAAACGCGCCGACCGGCCGCTCGCGAGTTGTGAGATGTGAATTATGGCCAATTGCGGAGAGGACTTAATTAATAGACAGGGGAGATCACAACGACCGCGATTTGCATAAAATCGAAACGTCCCCTCCCACCCTGCCTAGATTGGTTTCATTAGTTGCCTGTCATGAAGGTTAATGTATAAAAGTTAATTTTGATTGAAATTGGGCAAAAATAATTGTAATTATCATTAATTATGAACCTCACAAGTGCTTTTAGGCCACTTGTCAAGAATAAAGAGATTTGAAAACTAAGTAAAAACTCCATACTTATTCACCATTTTTGCCGTCAATTTTGCAGGACACACACATTTTGTTAATTTTTGTCAGTACAAAAAATGCAAAATAGATAATAAGCAACATCATTAATATGGAGTGCACATTTAACATATTATAGTTTATTGTTCACTTTTGACAAATTATGTGTATAAAAATGATTTAATTTTTAGCTCCAATCTTAGGACTTCCTGGGATTTTTTTATTTTTTCAAATTCTCATCGAGACATTTATTAAAAAAAGCAAAAAAAAATATCGGATTTCAAACTTTTATTCTATTTATTTTATGGATCATTTAAATTTAAAATCATAATGTAACAGGTATTTGTAATAAATTAGAATAACTATAAATTTATATTAAATTATTTACTTCATTAAAAATTGTAATTTTTAACATTATGTTCAGTTTTTAATCCATTTTGTGAGGGCCAAAATATTGAAAATTGTATTCTATTTCTGGTTTAAATGAGAATTATTAAATTTTATTCAGCACATCTAGTTGACAGATAATGCAAATTTGTATTATATCAAAACGATATCTTCCACAGCTGTGTTCTGTTTTAGATCTATTTAAATTCAATTTGCTCATTATGTAATGCTACATTTGAATGTAATTTTTACAAAGAAAATGTCACTTAAGTGTGATAGTTCATGTATTTATTTATTCTTACTTTTAATACATGGCATTTAGAAAACGTAGAATATTAGTTCCTTTTATTATTTTTTATCCGACTACAAATTGCAAAAAATGTATTCTTTTCCCACAGCATTAACCCAATTCGTCTTATTTTTTACGGGACTTCTCGCGTGCTCGCTTTTATTTCCTCAATCAAATTACACTTGACCGGCGGTCTAGAGCTTTTATACACAAAGTGTTTCATTTTCTTTGTTTTGTCCTCGAGGGTATAAAAACGCGCTTTTGTGCGCGTTACAGCAGCCTCATTACCTGAGCAATATGAACTCGCCGGACATTAAATTTAATGCATTTACATCGAGGAGCAGCGAAATCATTATAATCATCTCGCGATACACAACACTTTGCGCATTAAATTCAATTTGCTTCTCGGCAGCCTTGCGATTATCATGAAAATTACACGGCTTAAGCAATGGCGCCGCCTCGCACTTGTATAATACATTCGTTTTTGAATAAATCGCAAAAATCGTTGCCAGCAGTTTTTTTCCCACGTGGCGTGCGAGGGCGCCATTAATAATAGCAGTGCGAGAGTTGGTGATGAATAAAATAATTAGGCCCGGCAGCGGCGACGAATTAAAAGTCATTGTTCTGTGTGGGTAACATGCAATGACAGACAGCAGCCGCGCGCGCATATCGCATTAAACACAAAAGCCCTGCCCTTTGTGTATGCCTTGTAATTAGAGCTCGCTGCTGCTGCTGCTGTCTCTCTGCCTCTATTTATTTATTTATTTATTTCGCTGCTTCCACACAACGGCGGGCTGAGCATTAACGCGCTGTTTTCGTGTTTCTCTTTATGGCCCGCTGCTCAACTATGAAGTTATTATTATGTGTACCGCATTTTGATTTTTTTTGCCCCACTACATGTATAGCTGTTGCACATTTCATTTGTGTAAACTCGCGAGCGGGGGATAATTAATGCGCGCTCATCAGGGAAGTGCTGCTTTTCCCAAGCATTAAATATTATTATACTCTCTTTTCACTTTTTGCAACGTTAATCGACCCGTTGAACGCGACTGACTTCACTCCATTGACGGAGTAATTTTTCATCGACGCAGATGTCGAGGCGATATTTAAACTAACAATTTAGATCATAAAACGCCCTGTAATTAAATCTACACGTTAAATCTTAATTCACTGAAAACATGTGGTATTTCATTAAATTTTTAAAAACATTTGGAACATTTCGTTACTTAAATATAGTCAGAATGTGCTTTATTTTAAATTAAAAACACTTAAATAATTTTTTTAATGAATTTTCAATAATAGATAGATAATATTTTTGTGCAAAAAGTTTTCTTTTATCAAGAAATGTAAAGAAATCAAAGTGAAAGTCAGAAGGCTGGATAAAAATAAATATAAAAAATATTTTAATTGCGAAATAAATTTTGTATACGCAACTGGTCAAGCTGAAATCTTATTTTTTCCCAAACTTCAATAAAATTAGCAATTGATTTTGCAGTAGATGTAGAAATTAAACTAAATCCTGATGTTGCTTCATCATTATACTATTATGTGGGACAAACTCTGCTTTGGCCGGTCAGATCTATTTTGGTGCTCCGTAATGCAAAGTGATGGGCGCCGAGTTGCACGGCCACCTGCCACGTCACTCCGCGCTCGCAAACTATTTGAGGCCTTCTTGAGTTACAGGGCACCTTTTTGAAATGTCACTCCAGCCCCTAACTCGTGCAGCCATAATGTAAAACGCGAGGAAAACAGGTGTAAGAGCAACGGCGAACACGAAAAGTGAAAAACAATCCTGCTGATGTGCTCTATGCGTGCGGCCTTTTGATTCGCGCGAATTAAGTCGAGCGCCTCCGAGGCAATTAATTTTCGCCAGAGACTTGAACAGTATCGGTTTGCTGATTCATTCTGATTACTGACCTCGGTGTTTTGTTTCGCTCTATAAAGCCTCGTAAATTTTAATTACTTTAATCTTTTCCAGTATATAAATTGCAAAACAAGCTTTTCTATTATTTGTATGATCTAACAATAACTGAGAAAAATTAAAATAAAGCGTGAATTTGTTTAATTCAATTTTTTATTAAGAATTAAACTATATAATAGAAAACCCCATTCTTCCATAGTAATTACTACATTTTAAATCTCGCAAACTCCTTTGTAAAACTGAATTCTGATAAAATTTTGAAAACCAATTAAAACACAGGACAAAGGGAAAATTAAAGCGGCAGCAAAAGTTTGTAAACGAGGAGACTTAATGGTGTCGAGCAGAGGCCAAAGCCGATTCGACCAGATTAAGGTCTGGCCTCTCGAGGGGTGGAGGGTCGGCGCTGTCGACACCGTTGGTCAGGCTGGCCGCCCCCTGTGGTCAGCGGGTGGATTTGGCGCCGTCGTCTCGGGACATCGTCGCGTGTGGCGCGTTATTATCCGGCTCTCAGCCCAAGGTGCGGTTCGGCTAAGCGGATTACCAAGTGTATGAGGAGCCTCCTCGACATGACGCTTCACCCTCCGGTCGGACAGGAGGCGTTGGTGGAAAAAAGCAGCTTGCGTAATTCGCGTCAAACAATCTCCATCTTTTAATTTAATTGGCAAACGTCCCTTCTTTTTGATAGCATTGGGTTTTTTCGAAAACAATAAACATTAGGTAAAATTTCAATATATTTTTTTAATCATGTAAATTAAATATGAAAATTTTTTATAATTCCATTCTTTATTTGGATTTAATTTACTATGGAGTATAACTAGAAACAAATTTATTTTGTAATTTAATTTTCAAAATAATATTCTTTGCTCAAAATTTTGGCTAAATTTATTTTTAAAAAATACTGATTTTAATGTCGTTTTTACTCTCGATGGATAATAGCAATAATTATAATCATTCTTACGTGTCAAGCTGCATCTCACTGTCGACCTCTCAGGCGCAATCATTCAGATTATATGCGTTGTGTGGCATTGGTGTCCGACCTGGCCATAAAGGGTTCGTGACGGTCATTAGCGCAGTTATGTTTAATGCGTGTTTATTGTTGTTGATCAGCCAGAGGTGGCCCCTTGAGGTGTTCGCTGCACTTTCAAGGCACTACACGGCTTTGCTGTTACCCTGCGCAGTAATGCCAATATGCCCGTCCGACCGTCCACTTAATACCGGTCGCAGGCATACGCAAAGTGCCACTCTAATGCACATGGCATATTTCTTACTTGTCTCCAGACTCGTCCTAACAAACTGCTGGAAATTTTCATCAACTCTTCCCACAACTGCTGTAATTTAATTTAAGCCGTCAAAAATTAGATTCCTATACATAAAAAAAAATGAAATAAAAAAATAAAATTATATTTCAAATTTTTTTGAAGATATTTAAGATTTTGGATTGAGAAACTGAGCAAGAAAGCCAATGCTCTTAAAACCAATTAAATTGTCCAGATTTCAATTTGTGTTTGAACGGATTAAGATTCTAATAATTGAAAACTGTATTTTCCAATTACAAGCTTGAAATCAGGACATTGCTGGAAATTTTAATTCGTTTTCGGAGCATTCCTTTTCTCGCTCAGTTTCTAATCCACGTTAAATTTCTCTTTATAGAAAATTGAAACTGGAACATACAGGACACAATTCTTATACTCAAAAACTACAAAAATAAACTCACACTTGCAATTTACAAAATATCTTTAAACTTTCACTATATATTTAATCTGTCGTTCACTCATTTAACATTTTTATCAAAGTTCTGGCCTTTGCATATTGAGAAATTGGCATAGTAATTCAAACAAAACATTTATTAGCATCACGGTGGAGCATCTCTCTATATAGGAACTTGATTTTAATAAAAGCGTGCATAACTTTTCGAGCAGGCGTTGACGGTGCATCTCTGAGCCGTTGACATTAATTTCCTTCTCTTTCTCTTCAGCCGCTTTGACTGCAGCTTGAATAATATGTGATGCAAATGCACCTGCGGACGAGATTTATAACGAAGCGTCTTGTATTGGCGTCATTATAAAGTTTCCCCAGCGCGTCGTGATTGGGCGATGCACCGCTTTGAATAAATTTATTTGCCGCCGCTTTCAACACACTGCTCTGCCCACGCTCGCCTTTTCTTCTTTATTTTCGTCGCGCGCGAGGAAGTTCGGTCCATTAGCGGATTTGCCGTTCGAAAATGAAAACATTTGCTCTGAAGGATCGATTCTGGTGACAAAAACACCTTTTCATTCCTAATGTGAGTAATCCTTCAATGAGCAGGAAAACGAGATCGGGCCGAAAGGGCTGCCAAGTTGAGACATCTGCGCTCGGTCGCACGTTAAGCCCAAAATTATATACCTAATATTCAAGGAGCGTGTTTTATTTCTCGAAATTGAAAATAAAGTATTTGAGACGTGCTTAAAGAGCTGGTGCGGCTGACTTTGACGAGTGCCATTAAGTTGGGTTGTGACACAATTTGAACAAGCAGGGGCACCTGGAGGGACTAAATTTATCCGTCCGTCAGTCAGACGTGCCACTCGGAGCAGGCTGAGCGGCCCCTCGGCATCGCTCGCATTCTACCGCATCACGAAATTTGTCACTCAAATATTCCATTTGGCTTTTTTATATCTCCGGACCGACTCAATGAGAGCAGCTTTTAAAAGCGGCGGCCCGAGAATTTCAGCGCACTCTTGTGCGTCCGTCGGCGGCGAGAAAGCGAAAGAAAGAATTCCGGCGCGATCGCGAGAGCTGCGATGATTGATTGATCAACTCGACGCAGTTCTCATAAAAAAGATCACGCCCTATTCTCACACATTAAAGTTCCTGGCAGTTTGAGCCAAATTAACAGCAATCTGCATGATCTATCCGATTTGAAGCAATTAAAATTTGTATCAGAAAAAGAATGAAAATTATTATTTTCTAGATATAATGAAAATGCATCTTTTTATAAAAGAAATTTTGGTCAGATATTTTTAATCTGTTTGAAATGAAAGACTAAACGAACTGAATTTTTCAATTTTTTTTAATCATTCATTTATTACTTTCCAATTGAGAATTATAAATATTAAAGATAGAATGCTATTTTTTTTATAAAGTTATTTATAACTAATAAATACTAAAAGAATGCATGCTCCTCACTTGATTTATTTTTAAACAATTTTAAAAAAATATTTTTCAGAAACCTTTTTTTGTTTAAAATATGATTTTTTTATTTTTTAAATCTCCCCTTTTCTCTCCGCAAGATATTTTTCCTTCGTCTGACCCAGACTTTGTTTTTATTATTTTCCTTCGGCTTGGCGCCTTCCCACGCTTTCCCGTCTGTCTCCGTCATGGCATTGAAATCAAAGCAGAACTTTTTTCTCAAATTTACAAGCCTCTCGGGAATTGTAAATCAACCCCTTGTCGTAAATCCGCGAGTTTGGGCGCCCTCAAGAGGTGACCGTCGGCGGCAGCGACAAAGATTCGAACCAGTGATGCGTGCGTAATCGGGTTGGACACGGCGGCGAAGAGACCTTTCTTTCTTTCGCTCTGGGCGCCACTGCACTCAGCCAGAAGACGCGCAGAGCGTCTCTCCTTCGAAATCCCTTTTGAGGCTAATTACGCTGACAGGCAGCCGATTCGATCCAAACGCGGCGGGAGACTTTAATGAGAGCACTTTGAGCGGATTTTTCTCCAAGCCTGCTGAATAAAGAAAATAATGAAAGGATATTTACTTAAAAACCCCTTTTCTCGTGATTGCAGAATGCACTGCACTGGGCCGCCAAGCATGGAAACCTGGACGTCATCAAGTTGATCGCCGGGGCCTACCAGGTCAATCCCAACATAAGATCGGTGAGTTTTGTTAATTAAACTGAATTCTTAAATCTCATGATGAAAAGCTAGTAACAGAATGAGCTTTTATAATCTGTACGATGTAATAAAAATTTCAATTAAATTTAAGAAATTATTTTAATTTTTATTATTATTATGTATATTATTATTATTATTATTGCTATTATATTTCTTTAATTTTTATTAATATAATTAGTCTACATACTCAAGTCAAGACAAAAAATTGAAAAATAATTGGAAAAAATAAGATGAATTAATACTCATATATTATATAAAATCAAAACCAAAGACAGAAGGTTTCTAAAGTTTTAAAATTAACATAGATTTGCTCTCATCTTTCTAAGTAATTAATGAATATATTTCAACGATTTTTTTTTCATTCTACCGCAATTTATTATTGCTATTTTTTCTAATAAAATCATATATTTACAATATATTTAATTTTTAATTCACCCCGTTTGGAAAAAAATATCTACTATAGCCAATCACACTGCCTTTTTGTTTATATTTTTTTTTTGTATTTTCAAATTTCCACTCTGCAGCAGCTTTGTCTAGCTTATCCTATGGCGTGCGTGAAAAGGGATGCTGCATGTGTGTCTGTTTCACATAGGCGAGGCGCACAGATGCAGAGTTGGGCGACTGGCGGGCGGGAGATTAGAGTCCATTTGGCATATTGAGTGCAGTCCCGTGTCACTCGCGGCAGATCGCTCTCGGTAATGCCATTATCAATGCACTGCTGACCTCCTGATGCTCCCTCCAGCTCCCTCCCATGCTTCTGCACCTTTCCGACAACTTCTGCTTCACATATATGAAATTTAAAATAAAAATCGAAAAGGCAGCTGCTTTTGCAGTAAAAAAGGCTAAGCGGCAATTTATTTATGATTTGGCCGTGCGCCGCGGGGCCGATTGCCATCTCTCGTCACTTTTATATTTCTTTTTTAATATATATTATTCGCACAAGCGCTTTAATAACAATGTTCTGTTTCATATCTTTGTCGCCATCGCCGCCTGTGCAGAGAGGGGTAAGTGTCAAAAATTCTCACTTCCATCAGTCCAGGCACATAAATTAATAATTGATTGGCAACCGTCCATGTTTCATAGTTTTCGCCGTTTTTTAATTAAATTCCTAATTTTATTGCTGAAAGTTTTCCGTTTCGATCGACGATAACAAAAAAGGAGGAAAGGTGTCGCGCATTTATATAAAACTTCTGAAGAGACCCGAAAATTATATATATTTGATTTTCTGCTGTCTTGACGTGCGCGTGATATCGAAATTGGGATATGTCAACAGATGTCGGCTGGCTTTTGAGCGCCGAACGATAGATAGATTTTATGCAGCAGCTTTCCCTGCTCTCATGACTGAAAGTCGATAAAGATAAACGCGCGCCACTGGGGAAAATTGAGTCGGCTTGTCATCAAGCGTTGTATGAATACGCGAGGTTATTTGATGAATGTCCTAAAAATTTACAAAGCAAAATAAAAGAGAAATTGTATTCGCACATCTACAAGCAGTGCAAAATATATTATATTTCAGCAGCCGTACTTATTGTAAAGTTTATTCTTCTAAAATAATTTTAAAAAAAATGAATCATTCCAGCAAATCGCTGAATTAAATCAAGATTAAAAAGATTATAAACTAAAAGTCAATTTTTTATTGAATATCTATATTAATTGAAAATCTTAGAAATTATACATATTTTCGATGAAGAGTGACATTTTGTTTTAATTCCTGCCAATGTCTGCACCAATAATTTTCATTCCAGCTAGAATTGAACACCAGTCACTAAATTATATTCCTCATTTTTTTACTCCACAGATGATTTATGCTTATTTATTTTGTATTTAAAAGCTTCAAGAGATTTTTGCCAAACTTAATTTGGTTTAATTCATCCTTGCTTTTCACAATGTAATGTTTTTATTAAATAAAAATTTAAATTGTAAATTATTTTAGTGCATCTGTTAAGAAAATTAATATTAACTTAACTCCAATGTATGAAGTGTATAAAATTTATTATTAAAAAAGAATTACTTGATGCCACAATCTAAAGCAGAAAATTTGAAGCTTCTCAGTGGGATCGCTGAAGACACCCCTTTTGCAGCAAGTGACAAACGATCCTCAGAGTGAAATTAGCTCGAGGCGAAAACGAAGGGTTGGTTCGAGGGGTGGTTTTCCGTCAAAAGACACCTCGCCGCCCTTTGGCGAGGCGCAGGAGAAGGTGCTGATTTGCGAGACCGAATCCGCAAGAGCGCCGTTAAGCGAAACGAGCAGCACCTGTTCTCGCCATTAAACCTAATAAGATTTCCTCCCAACGAGGGAGGGTTGAGAGGGTTGAAAGACGCAAAGACGCCTCGAGGCATCCCCGATTTTCTGATATGGAACCGAAAATCCAGAACTCGTCGCGTTTCTCGCATTTTACGACGACGGGGCCGGAGACAGCAATCGGCTGGCACGAGAAAAGGAAATTTATGCCGACTTTATATTGAATGTCCCTTATCACATTTTGCTGCCGAAGAACGACACTTTTTATTATCTGCCTTTGTCGAGATATGTCAGCGGAAAGCAGTCAGTTTCCAATATCGCTCGTGCGACACCATGTTACTTATTGAGAGATCTCCTTTTATTGCGCCGAGTGTTGTCTCTCTCGATATTTTATTAAAATACACGGAGAGAGATGTGTTGAAATATCGAAAATGTTTTTTTTCGCATTCGACACCCCTCTGCTGCGAGACTGCATTTTAAAATTGACCCCTGCGTGAAACTGGATGCTGTTTTGTCAAACGTGCATTTTAAAGTCGCGTTGCACACCCACCCCCTGCACCCTCTGCAGCCGACGACCAGATGACGCCACTCTGGAATGACACAAAAACTCCGTAGCTATTTTTTATTGTCACCATATTTAAGTGGGAAATGTTTCATCTGTTTCAAAGTGGAATTAATTTGCTCGCGTGGCCGCAAAACACAATTCTGAAGGCTAATAATTTATAATATTATTTTTTTTCTTAAAATTAAAATAAATTTATTAAAGATGAAATTTTTTTAATTCATGTGACATTTTCAGTTTTTTATTCCAATTGAATGAAAGGCAGTGTAAAAGAAATTTAAATCGGATTTTAAAATATGAACATGAAATAAAATTTTAATTAACTAATTAAATTATTTCGGTAAAAAAAATCATCTAAAATATTGCGTCTTTCTGCGCTATAAAGGTGTAAGAAACCTTTACTTAACTTATTTTCATTATTATTTTTGTTTATTTTGTCGAATTGTTACATCACATGGCTTAAATTCAATTTTTGTAAACAATTTGTTTGAGAAAAAAGGATGGTTGGAAAAAACGGCAACACAAGTAGCAAAATTTCTGCAAAATATTTTCCGAAATGAAAAAGACTATCCGCCGCAGTAAGCCTCTCTTATTTGTATCCATTAAACTCTCGATATTTTTTTTTTTTCTTTATTAACAAATCTACAGTTTCCAAAAAAGCTAATGTCAAGCTTTCAAGTTCATATAAATTATCACAATTGATCAGAGCTATATATGCCAATTGCTTATTTTTTTAAATGAGTGGCATTTATTCAAGCGTAAAATTTCACGTCTCGACTTTCCTCTGAGACATTCTTCAACATTGTATGTATGAAGAGGGTGTCCGAGCGCAAACCAAATTGATAATTGATGCGACTAGGATGATGAAGTGTCGGCGCAATTTATTTAGCGGCTCCAACTCTCGGCCCATTGTGTTCGGCTCAACCCAAGTGTGCGCACAAAGTAAACGAATTTCCAGCTGTCAGATCCACTTTTCGCCATTGTGATAATAATTGTATCGCGACGAGATGTTCTCGGCTCCTCTTCAACCCGCTCTAGTCGCGCATGTATAGTGTAATTGCAGCTTTTTTCAAAACGCTAAGTGCCAAAAGCAGCCGCGTTCTCACCCTGATTTATCATTTTGTTTAGTCGGCGGCTGCGTTTTATTGTCTGCACGCTGCACTCGATTGTCTCTCGTTGCTGCCTTTTTATATTTGCACAACCAATTGGCCCTTCAACTCTTTGCTCACTCACGAGTGTAACAAGAGAGAGAGAGAGAGAGAGAGAATAATATTTCTGCGCTGCGTTCAGCTCACGGCATCTCTCGGCACTTGCCTAGACTAGTTTACTTTCCTAACAATAAGATATTATGTGAAATAATTTAGGTATGTAATTTTAAATTTAGATACTTCTATTGATTGAATTTATATTGGTTGAAAATGCGATTTTTTTTCTGTGTGCCTGGTAATGATATTTTTTTAATAACTAAAATTTAATGATTAATTAATCAAGATTTTGGATACATGTTTTGTCCTTTTTTTCTCGACTGAAAATTTGTTTTGCAGGGTCTGACTCCACTCCATTTGGCCGTGCAGTTTGGACATGACGAAGTCCGTGATTTGCTGATCCGCGTCTATGGTAAGAAATCAAACATGTCAGAGGTGCAGCTTGTGTTTGACTTTAGGCGCAATCTTTGAACATATTTGCCCTGTCTTCCTATATCACCATCAGGAACAAATTTATAAGTCCTGTCGGCTGCCGTAGTGTGATATTTGACGCAAAATATTTGCTCCTGACAAACAATAAAATGTCAATCTTAGTGGCGCCAAAGGTGCACCTTTGGCGCGGCATCTTTGGAAAAAGTCTTTATATAATCCTAAACATATATTTTTATCTTTTATCCAACAATTTTGTTTTCATAGGTAGATTTCTTTTCATTTTTATATGTATAAAAAATTGCATTACTTTTTACTTATTATTTTATGATTTTAATATCTTTTTTACTTTTTCGCAGGCGCCGACCCTGACATTCGAGATTTCAGTGGCAAAAAGCCAGAGCACTACAATCGTCCCCGCAGTAATTCAGCATCCACGGAAACCATCCACAGTAAGTCTGAGCCCTTATTTGAGGATGACCTGAACCCGGCCCATGGAGTAACAACAATTTTGAAACGATACGCCAGCTTCAGGGCCAGCATGGGGCCCGCTTCAAGCCAGTCTCTTCCGACTAGACGCAAAATCAGACCCAAAACCCACCTACATTGACATTGCTTGTTAAAACCTATTTCTTCGGCACTCTTTCAATTTTTTTAAATGACACAGTTTGCATGATGAATTTTTGGTGCTGTGTACTTTGTAAGGTATACCTGAGACTTTTGTTTTAAAGGGTATGGTGTTTTGTAGGGGCATCACTGGGTGCCACGCAAAGGTAAATTTACATCAATGTGTTGATTTTGTGATTTTTTTTTATTGTTGAGTTTTCAATTTACACATTTTATAATTTTATATGCGTTTTACGTGATGATTACTTGCATTTTGAATTTTCAACAGCTTGATGGTTGAAGATATAGTTAATTAGTACTAAATAAAATAGTTTAGAAAGGTTTTCGCAAGTCGAATTTATGGTTCGTAATTTATTTTTGGTTGCTTGTATAACCCTATTGAGCTTTTGATGCATGAAGCCGCGGCTAATCAGCTCCAACTTTTTGCTGGTGCATGACGTTGAGTATTGACATTTGACTCGCCTGCCTGGTAAGAATGAACTAAACCCACTAATTTTAATAAAAAATTCAATTAAAAAAAAACAAACCTGTTTTCTTTTCAGAAATCAAGTCGAGGAAGAAGAGCTCGGGTACTATTGAAAGCTTTTTATGTGAAAACTATTTTACTGAATTCATCAATCTTTTTTAGAAAAAGACCTCGGCTTCTTGCGGATTGGTTCTCTGAATGTGAGAGTGAAGAGAACCACGGAGGCCTTCAGCAACTTCTTCCACAATCAGCACAACACCGATCGTATTCACAAAACCTGGGGATCTGCCGACAACATTCAAGAGGTACTGCTTCTTTCCAAAAAAAAATAAATTAATTGCTTCATTCTACGGTCAATAACTTAACCCCTGGTTGCTGGCTCTGTCCAATAAAAAAATGGTAAAATTTCAGTTCATTAAGCGGCCGTGGTAAAATCAAATCCGTCATTTGGTGAGTTGGTTCGCAGAATGTGTTCATGGCACCTTGTTTGTTTTTGAGTATTATTCACTTTTTTCTGGGATTTGGTTGATAATTTTATTGTTGCATGTGCGGTAATTAATTTTATTTTGGTACGTGACTCATACCTTGACCTAACACAACTTGTATTTTTATTCAGTGTTGTATTTTGTAAATTTTTAATTCAGAAATATATTTGTTTTAATTTATTAGACTCTAACTTTGTAGTGCAAAAATTTTTAAGTGAATTCAACGGCAAGTATTTTTTTTGCAGCATGATGTCTATGTTTATAAATTAATTTGCCAATTTTGAAATATTTGAAGTGAATTGCAGTTTTAAACATATATTTTTTTCTATATATATTTTCTGATATATTTAAAACTAATTTCAGCCTGACCAGAATACAATGCCTCCTCCGAAGACGCTGCCCAAGAGCAGCTCAAAGCGACGCCGCCCCCGCCGCTCCCCGTCAGCCGCCTCCATTCAGGTGGTGAGCAAACCTGTGCCTGTGTCACTACCTATTTCCGCCGTCAGCCTCGAACACATCAACCTTAAGTCCAGCCAGCAGCCAAACCGTCACCATCACGACTCCGATTCAGACACAGCTGCCGGCTTCGGCGACAGCTGGAAGTGAACCAACGTTGCTTAGCATATATGAATAATATGAATTATCTTAAGGCCTCAGTGCTAAAGACAGATTGTTATTCCCAAAACAAAATTTCCACTTGATACAGTATTTGTATTTTACCCCACTGTGACAAAACTTCCATTCCAAAAGAAGTTGATAAGTATTTTATACATTGGGAAAGTTAATAAATTTTGTTACTATAATTAAAATTTTACTTTGGCTTTTATCAAGTTTTCTCTTTTATAATTATCTATTATGTATTTTACCAATAAGCAACTTTTATTGTGGAACATAATTTTCTTTGAGCTTTAGTTGCGCCACCGTCTTGATGCGCCGCCAGATGTCTCTAGCAGTAGCAGTCTGAGGAAAGTGCTAGACTTGTTGGTGCTCGAAGGCAGTGGCGCCACCCGGCGCTGACGTCACTCTTGGGGAAGGACGGCTCGAACACACCTCCACATCAGCTTATTTCTAAAATTATTGACTGACTGAAACAAATGGGTGGCCCCTAGCTGGTTAGGCCACACTTTGGAGCACGAGGCGCGACGGCCGACGACAGCAACTTCACTCGCACTTGCCGCGTCGCCACGAATGGACAACGACAACCAGCAGCAAAAGCACGAGGAGGTCCAGCAAAGGGCCTTCCTGCTCTGCAAGGAATACCTGCACGGCGTCTGGAACTCCATCTCTCAAAATGACATGCACATCAAGAAGATCAGGTGAGACTTTTGCAAAATGTCAAACTGCCATTATTATAATTATTTCACTTTTGCTCAATTTTGCTTTTTTTTATTTTCTAGCTCTAAATCATATCGGCAAGTTTAAAGTTACTAGGTCATTTTGGAATAGGCCGGTGTACATAGAAACAAAACTTAATTTTTTTTTATTGAACATTAATCAGAATTTATTAAATTTTCCACAAAGTTTACCAATACTTTAAACATGAGCGGTATATTTTGTAATATTTTTTTGGATGAGGAAAAATCAATGAAAATTACGTCACGTGAGCCGGAATTTCCGTCACTTTGGTTCACCTCTGCGATCAATGTCGGTAAATGAGTCTGCATGCAGCCCATTTTTGTCTACAGCAAGTGTAGTCATTAAAAACCGCACAGTTAGCTCTCACAGCGAGCGGCCTTGTTTTCCTGGAATGGAAAAAATTTGCGGCAGGTGAGCGAGCTCGTCTTGCAAGAACCTTACAAAATAAACCTCAGCTTTCTGCGTCACAAAATATCAAATGTGACCGGAAAAAAACCATAAAGGTACATAATTATTTGGTTTCTAAATTGATAAAAAAAACACACCAAGTTTTTAAGCTTTGCTAACCAAGACTAACCAGAGGTTTTCATTAAATTTTATTTGAAAATTCTAGAAGACTGCCAACGGGCTTGTTGACCTAAAATATAGGTTGCCGGGGGTTTTAATTTAATTTTAGAAAACTTCCATCTGGCGCCGAGCAGAACTGCCCCAAAAAGAATATATTTTTAGAAAAGGTTCCCAGTTTCGAAATATCTTTTTCCAACTCTTCCCTTTAGTTCGGCCAAATTAGCTGGATTATACTTTCGCTATATAATTTCACTTTTGACTGTAAATTATAGAAAATATAAGTTTGCACTTTTACAAAAATTAGAATAATATAATATTATAATTATCTAAAAATATAATTAATGTCCTCTTCCATATCCTATTGTTGAACTATACATTTTTTTTAAACTTCTTCAAACCTCGTTTTCCATGCTTTACTTGTGTTATTTTATTTTAATACATGGGTTTTTTGCGATTCCATAAATCTGATTTTATTATTGCTTACGTTAACAAAAAAAAAAAAATAATAATAATAATTAACCGCATCCTATGTGACCTTTTGATAGATTAAGAAATAAATTAATGCTTAGTTATTAAATTGTATGAGAGATCAATCAGGTTTTTGTAGATTATAAACGTTTTTTTTTTCTTCAAATAAGTTGATATCACAATTGTCAAGGTTGCTAATTCTTATTCAGTTATCATTTTTAATTTAAAACAGTTGTAGAGCTTTTAAGTCCCTATAAATTACATTTTCCCGTTTTAATTAGAGAAAATATTTTCAAATGCGCGCACAGTTAATTTTGTTGATTTAAAAATTAAAGTGTCTCCCATCATCTGGTGCGAGTGCGTCGTTCACAAAAACCCAGGTGATAAGAGGGCCGCAAGTTCAATAAAAAACGAAATATCTTTCGCGAGAACAAGGCCATCGCGCGCTTAAATGACTTTGTAACGAGAGCAATGCACACCTATGCGTGCAATTCTCCGACGCGCTGCCATAAACAATTTTATTGCCAGACCACCAGACAGATCGATTATTATTGTCAAGCGAACCATGAGCAGACACACAATATTGAAATTCCAGAACGTTCAAGATTTAACAACTTTATTGCCGATATTAAACGCTAATTCCTAATTTAGATTAAAAAAAAGTCGTAAATTTTAATTGTCTTCAACAAACATAAAAAATGGTGAAATAAATAAGATTTTTATTGTTGTTTGTTTGTCCTCATTATTTCAATAAAATAATAATTTTATTTTTCAGCGGTGGCCTGTCGAACCTGCTCTACCTTTGCTCCCTGCCGGCCGAGGTCAGCCCTTCGGGCAACGAGCCGTCCTGTGTGCTGCTGCGTCTGTATGGGCAGGTGCGCGGCGAGACTGAAGAGGCCCTGGCCGGACTTTTGACAGAGGCTGTCATCTTCACTCTGCTCTCTGAAAAGCAAAGGGGACCCCGGTTGCTGGGCGTTTTCCCCGGAGGGCGTCTAGAAGAATATATTCCTGTAATTTCCAAATAGATGAAAATAATATTTATGCTTTTTAATCTCAATTAAAAATGGATTTAATACACTTTTAATCTATTTATTTTTAAGGCTATGATATAATTCGTATGGAAAACTTTGTATAATTTTAATTCCTTTTTTTTAATTCAGGCGCGACCGCTGCTTACCAGGGAGCTGCAGGATTCGAGACTGAGCGGGATGATTGCGGCTAAGTTGGCGCAGATTCATGCCATGGATGTGCCCATCAACAAACACCCGCACTGGCTGTGGAATACAATGAACCGGTGGCTGGAAAACATCCTCGAGATGAAGCCCAGCCTGACAAAGCCGGCCGAGGCTGCCATGTTGTCCGACTTCCTTGCCTGTGATCTCGAGCAGGAAATGCGTTGGCTCAAGTGAGTGCCAATCTTGATGTTTAGATCTTTAGATATTTTAGGATGATAAAATACAGATGGTCAATTTCGGACTGATTATAATGAATGAAAAAATCTTTAAATTTAATCTTGCAATTAAAAACAGCTTAAAATTTTTTTAATATTGTACCATTTCTCTATGATTCAGAACTAGGATTGTTGAAGTTTTGACCCTGGGAATCAATTAGAGGATTAAAGTACCCATAGAAACGAGCCTTCATATTTCTAGAGCAAAAACTATAAATCTAATTTGTATTGTAACGTCTTGAAGAAGAAGAAAAATAATTTTTCACGACAAACAAATAAGTTTGGTACCACAAAAAGAAAATTATTAACCTATAAATCTGCAGTTTTGAATTTTAAAATTTAATAATTACGTCTTCATTATTTTTTTAATAGCTCCTTTGTTGCTTATGACCCTAGTTAGCTTATTATTAGGCTTTTGGGTAGTGGAGCACCCTTGATTTGTGCTTCCCAACAAACCTGACCTCTGGCAGAAAGCTAATCTTTACTTTTGATTTTTTTTTTCAGGCGAGAGTTGGAAGACGTTGAGTCACCAGCAGTTTTCTGTCACAATGATCTACAAGAAGGAAACATTCTTCTGCGCGAGCTTGACCAAGAGGTGGTGGTGATCGACTTTGAGTACAGCGCCTACAACTACCGCGGTTTCGATATCGCCAACCACATGTGCGAGTGGGTCTTTGACTACACCTGTCCGCACCCCCCTTACTTCACAGCCAACCACCAGAACTACCCTTCTCTACAGCAACAGCAGTTCTTTGCTCGAAAGTACTTGGAGGCGCTGCCCGAGTCCGAGGGTTCTTGCACTGACGAGGAAGTGGAGCAGTTGCTCACCGAAGCCAGGATTTTCACACTCGCCTCACACTTTTTCTGGGCCCTCTGGAGTGTTGTCAACGGAGCCGTCTCCACAATTCCTTTTGACTACTGGGTAAATTCCTATTTTTATTTCTTTCTTTCCTATAATAAAAATTTTTGGTATCTTGAGTTGTTTTTAAATCTGCACAATTAAATTCGAGTCAAAAATCACAACTAAATTTAAATTATTAATGTTTTTTTTTTTAATTATGAAAATATTTTACAAATGTTCTTTTAGGTCTATGGGAAGGCAAGGTTTGAGGCTTATTACAAACACAAGCATCACCTTATCAACACACAACAGGTGAACCCTTGACGATCTGTGGATATCGACCCATCAGCAATTCCCTATATAATAGGCAAAAGGCGTACCCCAATTGCACGTTAGTTGTCAATTTAAACAGGCAAAGACTGAAAAATGTTGATTGAAGTCTTACTTGCGTATTATGCTGGCATTACACAAGAGTTTTAAGATCATGATTTCACTTATTTCATTTAGCAAACATTTTAATTCTGAAAGTTTTAAATTATTTCAATGTTCAAGTAATTTATGTTGCAAATGAATTTTTTAAATCAGTTACAGTACTTTTACAAAGCATAATTTTCTTCCGCATTATGAGGCTGATTGATGAACTAATGTTAGTTATGTTGTAGTTCCAATCAAAAGTGGACTTTGGAAGTTGTATTATGCGCACCAGTTACTTAATTATTTAAGAAAAATAAAAGTGAATTAATTCCAATCCCTGAACACAATTGCGTTTAATTTGCTGGGTAAAAACTCACAGGCTCATTCCAAGCAACGCAGATGCTATTAATAGCAATAATATCTCTGGCGAGGATGTGGTATAAATAGAGTTGGCCTTAAACTAAAGTAATCTGTGTGGATTCTCTAGAATTGCGCATCAGTTCTCTAAAAGAGGAAATCCGCATCATATTGCTGAGAAATCATTTTTTGATTTTTTATTTTTTAAGGACACTTTTATTGGCTAAAATACAGTTTTTACTTAAAATTAACAACTTATTTTCAATTTAGATTAGAAAAAAAAGTAAGAATGCGGAACAACTGGGAATTTCAGGGATGGCTCTTATTGTTAAGACTCTTATGTAATATATTCCTCAGCTACTTGGTTGCAGTTTGCACACTTGGCTACCAAGAATTGATGTGTTGCTGCCAAGGAATGACGACGAGCTAGATTTAGTGACGCAAATCTTCATGGGATGTGGTTAATCAAATTCCCAGTGCGGCATTGTGCGTCAATATTAAATATGCCTAGTCATTTTTAATCCTTGTACCAGACAAAAGCACTGCTAAATTTTCACTCCAATGACCCTGTAAATAGAAGAGTGTGAAATTAATTATTCTAATGTGTATTAATAAAACTGCTGGGCGCAAGTGCAAGGTGAAGAGGAAGCAGAAACCGGTTTGCTCTAATATGCCACTTGCAATGAGAGTCACCACGTACGGAAATGCACTCTGTAAGTGCAGCCAAGTGACTGTATGAGGACGCCCGGTTGTAATTTGTTGCTATTGCACTTCAACGCAGTGCAGACGATTTTATTGTAATCTGGCAGTACTTCAAAAAATTAAAGGGTTTCAATGCTCCTGTAAAGTATGCACGTTTCTTTAGCTGTCGCAGAGCCAATATTACAAATTGCAAAGGTCTTCTAATATTTCCGTATATCATAAATTTAAACTGTTTGTAGTCCTTCCACCAAGACGTATATACTTATTTATTAAATTGCAATAAAAATGCTAAAGTAAAAGTGCTGTAAAATTACAGTAAGCATTTAAACAAAACATTGTTTTGAAAGTAAGGCTTGGCCATTAGCATAGCGTAGTTAAATAATAGGCCGCAAAGATATTTAATTCTGTTAATTCACTTTTTTGACATTGTCAATCATTTTTTTTTTTATTAGAGAATAAAAATGCATTAATTCTTTTATTTACTTCATGAAAATTTTGTTTAAATTGAGAAATTAATTTTTCCGTTTTTTTAAAGCAAATAATATCATTTTTAATAAATTTATTTTAATTTTTTTTTTATTTTTTTTTTATAATTTTATCTTTAAATTACAATTGCAAATAAATGTCTCACACAGATTAATAATAATCATGAGCGTTTATTCTATTATTTATTAATCTAATTAAACAATGTGCGCAATATTTACTATTTAACCACATTGATTTTGGATCCTTGATTTGGAAGAAGAATATAAATCTAGAATTGTGCATATATATGAAAGTGACCTTCTAACTTCTGCTTTGAGCTCTCGTCACCCTATAGTGCAACAGGAATCAAAGATGAAAAGGTAGAGGGGCATCCTGAGCAGGCGGACAGGAAAAGCCGCCGATGACCAAGTTGGTCACCTCTTAGGAACTCAGTCTGCATTCATCTTCGTCGACGGAAAGATCGCTTGTTAGATCAACTATACTGTAATTGCTATCAAAGGTAATTTGTGATATTTTTATCATACTTTTTACTAGCTTTTGTTAAATTAATTACAATTTAAGTAATTATGGTTTCAATATTTTTTTGTGTTTATATAACATTGAATTTTTACGAATATAATTAATTTGAATATTTCATTAAACAACAAAGATTTAATTGTTCTTTGCGACAACTTTATATTATCTTTAATATTTTTGTAATATTTTTTCATTCTACAAAAATAAAAAGCGTACTTACACTTATTGAAGATATGTGTTCAGATTGTTGAATTTGCTCACTAAAATTTAGATTTCCAATTTTGAATTAATCGCGATAATTTGATTTAAAACTTATTATTTAATGTAATTATAGAATTTTCTCGACTTTTTCAATCATTGTCGCACTGCAATGAACTGATTGAAGGCCGCACAAGTTCAATGCAGGCGTCTCTCGCAGGTACACTGACTCCCGGCGCGGCGCATTGCAATAACATAACTATCAAGCTCAGCAAGGCTGAATAAAAACGATTTGTTTAATTTCTCCGCAACTGCTTGTTTAACTGCTACAAAATAAACTCGAAACTCCAAAACCAGAGCACAGCATTGCAATAATTGAACTATTTTGTCTGCAGCGATTCCACGATGACAAGCGCCGAGCTGGGTTACGCGACTCCGGCGGAGGCGGCCGAAAAATCTCCGATTCAGCAGTTTTACGCCGACAAATGCATTTTCCTGACCGGGGCCACTGGTTTCATGGGCAAGGTGATATCGGAAAAACTGCTCAGGACTTGTCCGGACATCCGCACCATCTATATTCTCATTCGACCCAAGAAAGGCAAGGAAATTTCGACGAGGTTTGAGGAAATCTTCAGCGATCCGGTGAGTTATTAACAGGAAGCTTTTTAATCCTCTTAATATTTTCGCAATATATAGAAGAATAAAAGAAAAAAATATAAAAATAATAATCATCGTGTGGGATGGACGGGAAGAAGATATGAAACATAGAACATAGCTGGTTTTCTGGAGAGTTGCAACGCGGTCGCCGGTCACGCTAGATGCAAACCAAGGGCTTCCCTGGCATGATGTATGACGCAGGTGTCAAACAAGTTTGCCTTATTATAATCTGTTCGCGCATAAATAGCATTTCCTCTTTCCCGGCCTTCAAGGTCATGCATTGCGGATGAGAATGAAAGTTGTTCTCAATCAATTTGTGATGATTGAATGTTTAAATTGTTAATATATTTTGGTTTAGATATTTTACCTATTTTACTTTGAAAATTACTCAAATTACATTAATTCTTTATTTAATTTATAAAAATATTTATTTGGGGCTATCAAATATTACAATTATTTACATTTTCACATTGTTGGAAAACTAATGGAGAATTAAAGAACAGCAATGTAAAATTCAACAATTAAACAAAATATTGAGTTCCGTGCTTGATTTAAAAAAATAACTAAATGCTAAATTAACATTATTTATTTATTTTATTGCGCTGCAAATAATATTTATTGGTACATCACAGGGCCCAGGGAACAATAATGTCTCAAGCCAGACCATGCTTTTGGCTCACCATCAAATATTATATATTTTTATTAAATTTAATTATCAATTTAGTTACTTACTAATCAAACTTTCCACAAATTATAGGTATTTGCTCAACTACAAGAAACAAGACCTGATTTCGCCAAATGCATAGTGCCAGTGGCGGGCGACGTGGCGCAGAAAGGTCTCGGCCTGAGCGACGAGGACCGCGAAACACTGCTGGAGAACGTCAACATAGTTTTCCACGCGGCGGCCACGGTGCGTTTTGACGAAAAGCTGCGCCTCGCCAACGCCATCAACGTTCAGGGCACTAGGGACATGCTCGCACTTTGCGCCCAGATGCAAAATCTCAAAGTGATAATTTTATTTCAACAAGAGAGTTGTGAATTAACAATTTCATTGTAGTGCGTGATTCACGTTTCGACTGCCTACTCGAATTGCAACCTTCAAGAAATCCAAGAAAAGTTTTACCAGCCCCCGATTGGACACGAGTCACTTTCAAAGTGCGTCGATTCTCTTGAGGACAACATTCTTGATGCCGCCACACCAGCGTAAGTTTAATTTTAATTAAAATGTGTACATATTAATTTTTTTTTCATAAATATCAGGATTCTGCAAGATTTTCCCAACACTTATGCATTCACAAAAAACGTTGCAGAAGACGTGGTTAGGGATTTAGGAAAGGACCTACCTATTGCTGTTTACAGGCCTGCAATTAGTAAGTCATTTTCATAATTTATCTCAATTTTCAGATAAATTCCATTCATTTTATAAATTTTAATAGTTTTATATTTAAATTTTATTTTCCTTCAGTTATTGCAACTTGGAAGGAGCCGGTGTCAGGGTGGATTGACAACGTGTATGGGCCGACAGGGGTGGTGGTTGGTGCCGGTCTTGGAATCCTGAGGACTCTTCACGCGAACAAAGAAATGGTCGCCGACCTGGTACCCGTTGATATGGCTGTGAGCGCTCTGATTGCCACTGCCTACGAAACGGCGATCTCCACGTAAGTGTCTTGGGTATGCAACCTTCGCGACATGCACGTCGAGACGGTTGCATAAAGTTTCGTTTGCTACATATGGTAGTTATTGAAATCTCTCTTTTGTATGGGATGCAATTTTCATTGATTTATTTTCAGGAGAAAACCCGACGAAGAAATTCCGATTTACAACTACGTTTCTTCTCCGGAGAAGCCGATCACTTGGGGCGAGTTCATGGAACTGAACTACCGCAACGGGGTTAACGTGCCCTCAATCAAGGCTATTTGGTACTACACCCTCACAATCAACAAGTACCGACCGCTGCACCTGCTCTGCTCGCTATTCCTCCACTTCCTTCCCGCCCTTCTTGTTGATGGAGTGTTGGTTGCCATAGGAAGATCGCCACAGTTAGTTAATTTAAATAACTATTGAAATTTTTATTCATTATTTTTTTTAGAATGATGAAGGTGTATAAAAAGATCCACCGGTTTGGTGACGTCATCGCCTACTTCAGCACGCAACAATGGAATTTCACCAACAACAATATGCAGGCGCTTTGGAAAAAGCTCAATACGAAAGATCAGCAACTTTTCAACTTCAGCATGAGCAACATGGACTGGGAGGATTATTTCCGGACGCACATCCTAGGCCTCAGAAGGTTCCTGGCCAAGGACGACCCGAGTACCCTTCCAGCGGCTAGGAAGCGTTGGTTCAAGTAATTCTTCTAAAAATCGCAAAAAGGGCAACTTGACTTATTATAATTTGATGACTTTCAGGTTCTTGGTTCTGCACAGATGCATCCAAGGTGTGGCTGTATATGTGGCCCTCAGGATTATATGGTCTCTTCTCTGCTACATGTTTTTCTGAGCGAAAAGTTGCAATTCCCATTTGTATATAGATAGACTTTCAAGGCGGATGCGTATACATATATATTTTATACAGTATATAGTCTGCTATTATTGTTTACAATGTTTACTTTTTGGCAATGTAATGTTTTTGTAGCTATATAAATACTTCAACATACACAATAAAAAAATGCCTGTACATATTTACCCTGTAGGAAATAAAGAAAAAGTAAATGCATTTTCAGTACAATAAAGAAACAACAAAAAGTGTGCCTTTACATTTTGTCCCTCAAGTTTGTGATGAGGTCACGCAGTATAATTTTGAACGTGTATTATTTCTAAAAGTCACGTTGCTGCTTTGAGCTTGGAGCGCTTTATTCCAGACAACATTGCAATTCAAAAGTAAAGGACGTCCTTAACTTTATTAAGTAAAGATAAATCTGTAAAATAAATGGCAAAATTCAGTCCTGTTTTTTCCTCTCTCATTTGCTTGATTGCATGAAGTGTATGAGCGAATCAGATACGTATAGGAAAAAAGCACGATTTTCCTTGCACCTTCTTGTTTTGCAGCTCTTTTTCTACAAAGCGTTGGTGTTGAAATCAAAGGTCAGACGCCAAGCTGCGGCCGTAATTTCCTTTGGTCACCGCAAGAGAACAATGGGGAGCGAGTGACTGGCAAGACTCATTTATTTACGTCGCTCAGGGTTTCACTTGAGCAGAAGGTGACGTCTTTTGTAAAATGGTCCAAAACGCAAAAGCTCACCGCTTTCCAGCATGCAAACAGACGTCATTGTCGAATTGAATCTATCATCAATTGGCCGTTTCTATAAAAAAAACCACGTTAGCCAAGTTCAAGGCCCTAAATTGCTCTGGGCGTCTGCGTCACTGCGCGTTTTTGCTCCGACGCGATCACCATGATTAGACAGAGGTGCTAAAATTGCATCCTGAAAAGCAGAAGGAATGACGCTGCGTTTGAGGCAGCAGTTGGGTCACGTTCTTTGGTAAACCTCTATTGCCTGCAGAGCTTGGATTTCGGTATGGGCAACATGTGTGGCTGCAGCTAATTAAGTCGCTGGTCTTTACAACCGATTAAAGAGTTATATCGTCCAATTACCCGATTCCTTTGCCAAATAGAAAGTTGGAATTTGCTCTGTGCGGTGCTCTGCTGATACTGCAATAAGTGCGCGCGGGAAAAGTTCCTAGGCTCACGACAGCGAGCGCGTGTATTATTGTTTAGTCTTTGCCCAGCGAGAACTGCAGTGGAGTTGCTTCTCCGCGTGCGCCGCGCCAAGTGAGACTTCGAGAACGTGAGTTAAAAGAAATCATTAGTACTAAGAGTTACACGCGCTACTCAAGGCCTTTGTTTCATCAAAGAGGGCAAAAAATCCCAGCTGGAAGTCTGGGGCGGGGGTTTCCATCCATTTGGCCGAACGGCTCATGCAAATTTTAACCTTTTAAAAAGTTAATGACTTATATTTTTTCAATTAATTTAATCTTATCAAATAATTAATTTTTTTTGCTCTCCGTTAAAAGGCGACTACTCATTGTCAGTAATAAATTAAGGTATGTGTAAACTAATTGCCAACTAATCACTCGACCACCTGACCGATTGATTATAGACAGCACGCATTGATACCCTTGACGCGACCACAAGGAAAAGCCTTTGAGTCACTCTTGCTGGCTTTGTTATTTTCCATACGCCCGCGTGCCTATATTGTCAGCCGCGTATTTTTTTTTATTTTTTTAAAAATTTTTTTTTTAATAGACGTAAGTTGAATTTAAATCGTTCTACTTAAGGATAGCACAAAGATCTAAAAATAAGTTTTTGCATGTGAATGAACTATGATGTGACGGTTCAAGATTTTCTTTATTTTGAAAATTCATTTTTTATTATTATTCATCGTTGGCAAAGATCGCTCAGGAAAATATCACGTTCATTCGCGTAGCTTTGCTGACGCGGCGCCGAGTGAATCGTAGAAACGAAACAATGAAGGCGGTTGTTGGCAAAACGCAAAGAACGAAATGTGATTAACTTTTTGGTATGACGTCTGAGCCGCCAAATACCGTGCACTTCTTGTGTGACTTGCAAATAATTTTCATAAGTCAAATTGAAGACAGGAGTTTTACTAACGCAAAAAAAATCAGCGGCATACTCGTTTAATTTTTTTGCGCTATTTGTTATTTACTTGAGACTGATAAAAAACGTCTTGAAATTTTAAAGATTTGCTTAAAGAACCAAGGTGAGTAAAAAAAGTTTATCAAATAATTGACAATCACAAGTTAAATGTGCATTGTGAGGTCAAGCTAAGCTGCAATGAATTAAATTTTCAAACTTGAGTAACTTTATTTTCCATAGAGAATGAACACAAATTTTTTATACAAGCGATTGACATTTTTATTAATTTTTTATCTCATAATTAATATAAGTGAATGTAAATTTTATATACATGGTTTGTTCGCATGTTTGAGAAAATTTGTTCAAAATTTTAGAAATTATTAAATTTAAAATTAAAAAAATAATAAAATTAATATATATTATTATTACTTTCTTTATTGAGCACTATAACAAGTGCAATAACTCTGAAAATTTTTGTTTTTAGTTTTCAGTTTAATTAAATTTATTATAATTTGGCCTAAGAATTATACCATGATCAAAGATTTAGCTCGTTAAATTGTTTAAAATCAATGTGTCGCTAAAAGTGAAGTGATTAAATCACAATTATTTATTAACTCTTATCCCTAGTTGATGCAATGATGCTGGGAAAAAGATCTATAATCGTTGCATTCACGGGAATACCACCTACTAAGTGTATTTTCCACGCTGCTTTTCGATATATTCTTTTTATCCTCATGAAGACATGGAAAATGGTACAAGGCCAAATTTAAACCTTCCAATTCTTGGGTGCGTCACATTTCAAAGCTTTTATGGTAATAATATTGTATTTTGTCATTAAAATTCATGAAAAGTAATTCAAATATTTTAACATACAAAATTGCAATATCCATCATCTTGGACAATGTTTCAGTTTAAAAAAAAAATTCAGAGAACTGTCAATCCAAAAAATTTATATTTTTTCGTGAAATTTATATAGACAGTCTCACCTTATGTGGCAATTTTTACATTTTTTGTGAATTCAAGAAAAGGGTAAAATATAAAAATTTAGACATGGCTCTGTGCTGATGAATGCAGCTTTGAATTCAAAGTCATTGAAAAAAGTTAGCGCTGAAGGTGGGGAGTCGGATCGCGCTACTAAGTGGGGATCCGCATAAATCCGAGCAGACTTTCTTCGCGCTCACACCTTGACAAGCGTTGACCGGGAGAAGTTGCTGAAATTCGTTCCGGTGAGTACCATAACACACCGCACGAAATACCAAAAATCTATACATTCACGCCGAGTTTGATTTGAACCGATGAAACTGGCACTCGATCAAATTAATTTTATTCCATCCCAGAACTAAAAATAATTTTTGAGTTTTGACAGCTCAGCTCGGTGGGTTTGCGCTCGGATGCTCACGATGAATGACCGCGAGCATTTTGCAGCAGCAGAGTTGCATGATGGACTAATTAAAATCGGAATCCGCGGTGGCCCATAATCACTTTCTAACGCGGAAACGAGTGGAGATGCGTCGAGACCGCAAACTCTTCAATTTTATTTCACTAAAAGTCATATTGGTTTGGTGTCGTCGGGTTGCACCAGCAGCGGTGGCCAAGTCCTCAAATCGGTAAAGTGGCAGCAGGAAGTGCACGCATAGCCTACATGCGCGATTATTTTATGAAAGTGCTCTCGGCGGCGCGAGTCGCACGCTCTTGGCGGCGCTTTTCTTTTAAAAGCAAGGTGATCTGACCGATCGAACGACAAACAATTGCACGCGCAGTGTTATTCCATTATTGCTCAACTCGTAAATAAGAAACGGATTTGTGCTATCCAAAGATAATAATATAACCGGAGAGTGAGGAAAAATTGACTTTTTAATGTTCTTTTAAAATAGCTTGGAAATTCAAAAATTTGCGCGAGTGTGGGAATGTGTTTGGGCGCCGCTTTTGATTGCCGAAATCGCAAGCGGCGGAAAGTGGATCAATCGTCTGCTGCGTGCGTTGTTGTTGTTCGATCTTGAGTGACGATTTGCATTTTCACGTGGTGCTGCTGGTACACGCGGACCATCTGTGAAGCCGCGGGGTGTTTACCACGCGCGAGCACTCACCTAATGTGGCTGGCTGACATAACTTGTTTCGGGAAAAGTTACATGAGAGAGGCTGTATTAGCTAGCATTGGCCTACATTTGCATGTTGTAGGCATAGAGACGCGGAAATCAAAGAAAGTGGCGTGATATTTTCGATAATTCGTCCATCTACCCGGCACAAGATTTAAATGTGTTTATATATTAATTAAAGGAAATTGCCTAACCGCCGCTTGATACGATCCGGTATTTTCGTCTGGTCAGGTGATTTGATCGATTAAACAAATTGCCCAATAAATAAACAAATAAATCTTGTTGACAAAAATCAACTTTCTTTTAGACGAGAGGAAACGCGTGTAATAAATTTTTTATATCAATCTTTTGCTTATTGTTGTGGTTTCGTCCAATTCACCTTCGAGTGCCAATTGTTTGCCGTGTCCAATTTCACTGATCCTTGCGATTCAAGGCCGCGAAACCACTCATCCTCCACGGTTATTATTTAACACTTCTGGCTCCTTTTGTCATAAATGGATAAACGTTTGATTCAATCACTTGAAAAATTATTAACTATCATCGTTGTTAATTTTGTTAGTGTGGGTGTGTGAGCGCGCGCGCTTTTTTTGTGTAATTTTTTTGTAGAGATTTTGTTGTGTTTGCGTTGTTAAAGGTTCCTTTTAAGTTTTCAAAAGAAATCTTAAAATTCAGAAACTGAGCAAGAAAACCAATGCTTGGAAAACGAATTAAAATGTCAAAATATTAACTTTTAATTGGAAATTTTAATTCTTTTCAAAACAGATTTTTCCAAAACAATCGATTTTCCCCCTTAAAACTCCAAAATTAAGACAAAAAAGTGTTGCCGTTTGTCTTAATTTTTGTGTTTTAAGTGGAAAAATTAATTGTTTTGGAATCAAATCCAAATCGGTTTTCAAAAGAATTAAAATTTCCAATGCAAGTTGAAATTTTCACATTTTGATTCGTTTCCCAAGCATTGGTTTTCTCGCTCAGTGTCCGAATCCACGTTAATATTTCTTTTAAAAGTATCATCGTGTTTACTCGGAGGAAGTTGCATCATTTTGCTAGTTCGGACGGATTCGCCACATGAGTCGTGGCAATTTCACGCCTTATTGTCGGCGAAGAATGCACTCCTGGTGCATATAAAGGGTCATTGGAGGCGTGCCCGGCTCCTTACTCACTCACTTTCGCTACATCCCGAAGTTGGCGGCGACGGCAAAAAGCAGCAATAGACGAACGCGGCGGCGCTCGCGAGTGAAAGTTCTTTCGGATGAGAGATGAGGAGAGCTGCTTTCTTATGCAATTTACTCGCGGCTGCACTGCAAAGAAAGCGACCGACCAGCCGACCAACTCTGGCCCCGGCAAACATGTGTGTAGGCCTTTCCTCTCGCGGCCGCCCAGCTTACATAATAGAAAAGAAAACCGGTTGCTTCGACGAATCAGTCCGATCGAGTGTTTTAATGCATTATTGTGCATCGCGCTGCATTTCCTCGGCACGTAAATAATGTGGGTCACCGGCGCTTCTTGCCCACTTGATAAAATCGTGAACAACGTGCGTGCTCTCGACCCCACCAATGTATAATTGTACAGAGCAGGAGATGCGACGCGCCCGCCGCCCGAGTGCCCGCGGACCGGGTTTTTCTTGCCTAACCCTTCAGTGCTGCCAGCGCTTTTCTAGAATCAAGTGTGTTCTGTGCCTTGCTCTGCCTTTCCTCCTGCGGGAACGTCGCATCAAATTCACTATCATTTTCAAACATAAATCTTCTCGCGGTAAGAAGTCACTAATATTTTTATTGGTGTAAGAAACGGCTACATTTTTTAAACCGTCTCTTTTAGAATGATGGGAAAAAGAAATCGTGTGAAACGCATCTTTTTAATTTTTTTTTTTTTTGAAAATAAGATTTTAATTGGGCCACTGCGCAGTATTATTATTATTTTTTTTACTCCTCTACCGAGTTTATTATTACGGCTGTGAGTTTACAAACACGCTGATGAGTAACTGTAAAAACGCGCCACGTTCGGTTCGGCAATGCAGGAAGAAAACATTTTTTTGACCGGCTCTCATTTACATCTCAGGCAGAGACAGTTATACGGACGGCGAGCTCCAAAAGTCACGCGCGCTCCATTCTCAAAACCAAAATATAACGTATAAGCTCTCATTATCAATACAAATGCACGTGCTTTTGTTTGGCGGGAGTGTGTCGAGGTGCTTGATATGATTTTCTCGCGGCAGAGTTGCGAGTCGTCCTCATTTCCACCCAGTCCCAAGTAACGGAAATCGCGAGCAACCTCCTCTCTTTCGCTAATTTTTCAGCCAAACTTTACATCACTTTTCAAGGCTATTTCACGCTACGCGCTGTGTGTCGAATGCGTCGCGTTGCGTCTTCGGCAGAGCGTGAAATTCAAGTCGTTTCCTCCTAATTGTAAGGCTGAAACTAACCTCGCGGAAATGAATTGAGTCGCAATTATTTGTTCGTCGCCCGCAGGGTTAAACTATTTTACGAGCTCCAGATTCGAGCGTTGAACTCTCCCTTTCGGATTATTATAAAGGTGAGGCGAACTTATTGTGAAAATCTCTAAGTGATTACGGATTATTGCAAAACTTGCATCCTTTAAGGAAACGAAGCAATAAAACTAGATATTAATATTTTCATAAATCTGCGTCTCTGCTTGCGCACTTGGAACGAATTCACTGAACAAAATAATGATTCATGCGCGTGTATAGAATCGAAATTAACCTTCTGGTCTGCACGCTCAAGGATGATTCTCGACGAGTTATACGGCAATTAGTTTGTACTCTTTACTTGTTCACGTTGCATAATTATGGATACGAGGGCAGCTATATGGTTTTGCACCTGAGTGGAATGCCGCTCCGCCACTCGCACGATTCTGCGACATTCCGTTTGGATAGCTTCCTTCGTCATAACATTGAGACCGGTGCAGTATAATTCTATACATGTTACGTGTGGTTTTCTCGACTTCCCTTTTTGAAAAATATTCACTTGAACTGAAGATTTTGAGTGTAGCTTTTAAAGGGCGTGATTCGCCGATTTGTGATTGTGTAATAATTTTTTACTGTCTTGCCCTTGAGTACGTATATTTGTACGTGCCGGGCTTTTTACATTTTTCACGACAAAAGAATAATATTCACCACCTCCTCTGCTGCTTATCTCAAATGAAGTTGCAGCTTTTTGCCGAGTAATGACGATTTGATGACCGAAACGTCGTATTGTTGTCGGTCGGGAATGCAAAAAAAACTCATCCGCCTGCGAGTAAATGCGCTCTCAAGGTGCTCTGAAAACCGCACCATTTTTTGCCCTTCATCCATAGAGGGATTCCCGGCATTTGTGTGAGCGATTCTTGTTATTTTGCTCCTTCATTAGACCATTCAACCCAGCATAACGCACAAGGCCGCGCTCGCGAGTATGTTTTGTTGCAAAAAAGCCAGTCAATTTGTCATAATAAATTTTAATAATCTGGGGATGCTGAAAATAAGGAGCGGCCACCACCTGCTAAAAGGTCAAGAGGCGCTTGACTCGATATAACAATAAAATGGCAAGTGACACGTGCAGATCCGGCTTTTTAAAATTAATATAAACCTTTCTTGTATGATAAAGGAACCGAATAAAAAATGATTATGCTACCAAACCTTACAATTTTTAAGTATATAGTAATAATTCTCACGGTTGAGGAAATAATGTGAAGGCCAAAATTATCTCTGCAAAATTTAAGCTAGGAATTGATTTAGCATAGTTCTTATAAAATCCTCTTTTTGTCAAGTTCAAATGGAGCTTCCTTGTTGAAGTTAGTAAAATAATATGACGACCTTTTCTTTTTCTCGCTCTGATGCGTCTACGTGACTGTGACAAAAATTAAAATTGCAACACTTTTTCGCAAAGTTTATTGCTGTCATCGTCTGGCAAGGTGCAGCTAACGTCTAAAAAAAAGAAAAATTGGGCAGCCTAATTAAAAACCGGCAGCCGCACGTAGGCCCTGTTCGGAATAATTGCCTCTCACTGAGATATTTTTATTTGGCACGTAAAAAAATGAGACTCTGATTGATGATTATGCACCGGCTCGTTAATAAAAAAAACCTTCCTCATTGTTAGCATAAGATAAAAACAACAACAGCCAAAATTGATTACGTTGCTTTTTTGTTGCAGAGTGTGTGTCCTTTCAAGGTTGAAGCGCGACGAGCAACAGCACGGCGGCTGATTTCCATTAGCAATGGAGATCGCCAACACGAAGCCCCTGACGTACTTCGCCGACGACGACCTGACGCCCGTGCAGCAGTTCTACCATGAGAAGACCGTGCTCATCACCGGGGCGTCGGGCTTCATGGGCAAAGTGCTGCTCGAGAAGCTGCTGCGCTCCTGTCCAGGGGTCGGCAACGTCTACGTCCTGCTGCGACCCAAGAGGGGTGAGCAGCCGCAGCAGCGCCTTGAAAAACTCATGAAAGACCCGGTAAGATATCATAATTTATTTTGAGTTTATTCCGGAGGTTCCTGAATACTTTCTGGAAAACCGAAATAGTTGCTATGAACTCAATCTAATAATTGTTTAATTTAAAACGCTATGAATTGAAAACAAATTTCAAACTATAAAGCACATTTAAATCACTTGTATTCTATTCTCTTATAGCGTAATTATAAATAAAAAATTAAAATAATATTATAATTAAATTCATTCATTTTGCTCACAACAAATGTTTTGAAATTGGAAAAAAATAGAAAGAAGCAGATTTTTTTTTAATTTTTATAACAAATCAATTTTTAATATAATTATAATATGTAGTTTAATAAGAACTTTAAATTTAAATTTTTCTTTATTTAAATATTGTTATATTTCTCTGCATTCTTTATTTTTGTAAAATTTACAACTGAACATGTAAGCAAAAATTACAAATTTCCAAGAAAATCCGTAATCATAAATTTAATTATTTAGGAATAGTATTAAAATTTGAATAAATATGAGCTCAAAAATGAGTTTAAATGTTATATTATTATCCAGCTCAAACTAAATTTCTAGCTATGTACAAAAATTTGATAAGCGCATTGTTATTTGGCAATATATTTTGTAATAAATCAATTTCAATTAACGCTGTGGTTTTACATTTAAGAGGGGCTGATTATTACCCTAAAAATTCTAATGTTATATATTTCGCCTAAAATTTAATAAATAATTAAAATATCCATGAAAATTATTCGTTGTTATTAAAATTTGTCAAATTGATCTAATTTTTTATATGCGTGAAAACATTTTGTTGCAAGTCATGTTGTTAGCCGACAGGTAGCCCGGTGACCCAATATTTTTCTCCTGCGGAGCCTCAATTAAATTAGCATCTTCTTTTGGCAGGTGTTTGAGCGTCTGAGGCGTGAGCGCGGCTCATTGATCGGCGTCCAGCCAGGTGTGGTGCCCATCCCTGGGGACATTTCTCGTCCCGGCCTCGGCCTCAGCGCCGCCGATCGCGCCGTCCTTGTGTCCAACGTGCACATCGTCTTCCACGTGGCCGCCACGGTCCGTTTCAACGAGAAGATGCGACAGGCTCTGCAGACCAACTTGGGCGGAACCAACGCCGTGATGCAACTTTGCAAAGACATGCACAATCTCAAGGTAAGCTCTGAACTCTAACCACTCGAGTCAACTGCTTTTCTAGCGCTCGAAAAGTAGATTATGTAATGCTAATTTTTAAAACATCTTGAAACATAAATAATCTGCTGGTTTCCTTGAATCAGACGCGCGTCAATAGTTCCTAACGACGACTCGCAGACGTTTCTCGCACACAATGGGTGCAACCTTCTCTACATAAAATAATGAAAAAATCAAACACCACTAACCTTGTAACTCTGGTCTTGTGTTCCATCAATAAGTTCAAATGTAAGAAAAGTCTAGAAAAAACTATCTTAAGCAAAAGTCGGAAGGAAACGTGCGGTGTGTAAAAGCATCCCAGCGGTAATTACGCTATAAGGTTATCTAATAACTGGTTCTTTCATTCCGCGGGGTGAAAGTCACGCACGCAAAGGCGACCGCTTTCAATTGGTTTGTCCTATCGCGGCCGATTGGCTGCGAAAATTGTTCTGGTGCTGAATTGATTTTAAAATATAACTTCACATAATACCATTCATTATTTGAGGGCGAAGGAGAAAATGATTAAAGCAGAAAGAAAAAAACCAGTTGACTTTACTTTTGCGCGAGGCCTTGCGAATCAGGAAGCCACCGGCTATGCATCTATTAGAAGAACAAGTTGTTATTTTTATTTATCTATTTGCGCACGCACTCAATGGAAATTATAATTGATGCGTTTGTACCGGATTCTCAATGTGCACTCAAGCAAGTCGGCTCTGTTATACAACCACTTTGGATTTTCTTTGCACGAGCGTCTCGTTTGAAGTGCGAATTGTTTAACTTTCACGCGCTAATATTGTGCGTATATTCTGCGAAAAGGGAATCCTATCATGTTTATTATTAGAAATGATTATGTGTTCATACCCACACGTACCCTTTTGCAAGTATAATTAGTAGATGATTGATAACTTTATTAGAAAAACTCTGACATTGAGAGGTCAAGTTAGTGTCAACCTCTCTCAACCTTCACTTTTGCAAATAAATTCATTTAAATCTAGGATAGCAAACATAAAAAGAGCATGAAATTATTCTTCTATATTTTTTTTTAATTGAATTACCTTAAAAAATAATTTAATTTAATGGATGCAACTTGTCATTTTCAAGTAATTTGATGATTATTGTTTATGCCAAGTATATTTCACATTGTGGTGAGGTTAATTGAACTATCAAAGCACAGAAATTATGTTCAAAACGATAAACGTTTCATTGCCCCATTGTTGATCAACCTTGATGTCATCCTCTTCTTTTCTTATTTTGCATTTTGCGTTCGAGTGGCGTGTTTGCGCAGGTGCTCAACGCTCTCGCCTTTATTTCCCGGCGAAGGTTGTTTTCGCTTCACTTCCACCGGTAAGCGTGGCGAAAATGAAATCAAAGGGTTCTATAAAACGCACTCTTTGCAATTTTCCGGCACGCCGCACTTTGCGCCATGTAATTAATCCAAGGCCGTTTCGCGAAGGAACAAAATGTAACTTTTATTATTATCGAGGAGCGACCGCAGTTATATCCGACAAAGGATTTGGCTAAAGAGGCCACTGAATGTCATCACGATTCGTTGAGAGAAAGCCTCAAACCGCGTACACGTAGGTACGCGTATATGCGTGTTTATTGACTGGCACGCGTGATTGCTCAATAAGAAGTTTGCGGACAAGTAGGGGCAGTGCCAAGCCCCAGACCGACTCTCTTAATTTTTTCCTTAATTTCTATTTTAATTATTTTCTTTATCGGCGGCTGCGAAATCGAAAGTCTCCGTCTCGCCAAAGGTCTAGGTCCTTTTTCCTGCTCAATGTTGGTTATTTTTGTTGGAAAAAGTCAAGATTTGCACCCATGACCTCGTTAGAGGTCAAAAGTGTGCGAATGCATTGCAATTATAAGTGAGCCTTGCGCGCCTTCGTGACCGCCAATGTCCAGTTGATCGACCTTGTCTTTATTTATTTTGCATTCCGCCATAGCTGCAGAAAGTAATGCACAGCGTCGCACTCAATTATGCATGTGCGACTTTTTAGCTTCAAAATTTCACTCTGCTTGAATTACATACGTCAAGGCGGCTGTGATTTCTGTATAAAAGCTTTCGCGCAGCACTTGTACAAATTTGCGTACCTCAATAGAGGATTAGGATAAATAAGTAATGCAAATGTCTCGGCGCGAGCGAGGTGTCAAAATGTGTAATTATGCTCTTTGTGACTTCCTGGCCTCAATTTATCAAAGTTATTCTCTTCATTAAGGCGCTTGTCGTCGAAAAAACGAGGTCAGCAAAACAAACAGCGTCTATCTAGAAAAGATAATTTTGTCACAATGAATACTTTATAAGCTTTTGAATTAAATATGTGCAAGCAAACGTCATTTTTTTAATAGAAAAGAAGAAATCGTTTAAAATTTAATTAATGTTTATTATAATGTAAAAGTAATTACAAGGTGATCAAATTTGATGTTTTTATTGCTAGAGAAATTTGGTTGTAGGGCAACGGGCATCTCTCTCACGCGCAGAGTTCCGGAAATCAGAGATTATTGTCACGCCCAAGCGTCCAATTACCTTTCACCCGCCGTCAAAGGTCGAGTCATTGATCTTGCGTTGTTTTGGAAGAGCGTGGTTTTGCTGTCAGAGAAATTTCACGCAGCGACCAATGGCCTATGTTGATTTGCGCGCATCAGCAAACATTGAAAATTATAAAAGCCTCTCGTAATAATTGTCGGTGCGAAATTTCCACGCTGCGCCGGCAGCAGCAGATGTCGCCGGTAAATTAACAACATAAAACACTTTCTTCTTCTAATACTAATTGCGTGCACAAATACAAAGAAATATACCAGGAATAAAAATTCTCAATGAAAAAAATGAATGTTTACAGTCTTTCATCTACGTGTCAACCGCCTACTCGAATGCGCCCCGGGACAAAGTGGACGAGATGGTCTACGCGTCGCCCGTCGACCCCGACAAAATCCTCCAATGCATGGACTGGATGTCCGAGGAGCAGTTTGAAGATTTGGCACCATCGTAAGCATTAAATTTTATTAACTTTAACCATTGAATTAAATTGTTTTAACGCTAAAAAATTGTTAAAGGAAAAAAAATATTAAATAAAATTAAAAAAAAATTCATTCAATTTTAGCAATGATCTTATAACTCATGAATTGAAAAAAAAATCGTTCTAATAATTTTAAAATTCAATCAAATTCAATTGGTTGATATAGTAAGATCTGTTTATTAAACTCCATGAAAATAAATGACATAATTCTATTTCTTTTTGGTTTTCATAGCTTATTATTTTAACAGAGTTTTGTCTATTTTTTATTTAACATAAGTGAAAATATTACTTATGCTGATTGATTATAAATCAGCAGTAAATGTTTGTCACCTCTGATAATTCACAACGATTAGAAAGTAGATTGAAAGCGCACGTGCTTTATACTCAGGTTGCTCGGAGAATGGCCAAACACCTACACCTACAGCAAAATGCTTGCTGAGGCCCTCGTCACCAAACACTGCAAAAACATGCCAGTTGCCATTTTCAGACCCGCCATCGGTGAGTTAATCAAACTTTCGTTTTCCCTTATCTGCTTTAATACTAAATTTAATAAATTTCAGTCATCTCGACTCACAAGGAGCCAGTGCCCGGCTGGCTGGACAACCTGAACGGACCCGCTGGAATCACAATTGGCTCTCTGCTTGGCACCATCAGAATCTTCCACTGCAACAAACGCCTCAGAGTGGACCTCATCCCCGTAGACATGGCCGCTAACGCCATGCTCGTTTCCGCTTGGACCACAGCACATAACATGTAAGTAGGAAATTGCAACATTTGGTTGCTGGAAACTTCAACTTTGTACATAGGCTCCTCTCTCTTTAAAATTTTTCATGATATTCACTAATAAATAATCAATAACCTTGTATTTAATTATGAAAAACTCCGCCGCTTTAGCTACGCAAATAATTTAAACTTTGAAAAAAAAATCAAAGTTTTGCTTATGAGTTTCAGTAGGGTTTTTTTAACCAGGATTTTTACCATTCTTAAACTTTAACATGCAAATTTTTATTTGGTGATGGATATTAAGTAATTTATCAATTTTTATTACTGCAGACTAATTTTCTTTTTAATGTTTTAAGTCTGCAACCTACAATCTATTATTATTTCATTAACTTAAAAATATAATTTTTAATTTATTATAAGTTCATTTTTCATGCAATTTCATGCAACAATTGAGATTTTTAATACCATCAAAAAGAAAAAGTAGTGTAAATACTATTATAACAATATACGTTAGAATAACTATTTTTTATTCAGGATCTACTTTATATAATGAAAATAAATTTAGGTGCCTATTACAATACCCTGTTTCCCTTAAGTTTAAGTAGCTCATGATTATTTTTTTTTCATCAGTAACCCAGAGCCAAAGGTGTACAACTTTGTGTCAAGCGCGCGAAAACCAATCATTTGGAAGGAGTACATGCGCATCTGCGAAGGATATGGTCTTGCAGAGCCTCCCGAGAAGGCCATGTGGTACTACTGCCTTACATTGACTGGCAGCAAGTCCTTGTACAAAGTCTTGACCCTCTTCATGCACGACATTCCCGCCAGACTGATCGACATTGTGCCCTCGGTGATGGGTCGCGGAGCCAAGTAAGACCTGCGCCATTATTTTTACAATGAATGCAAATTAACGAAAAAAATTATTCAGGATGACCAAGCTGTACGCAAAAATCGACCAGTTCTCTGACGTGCTGTCCTACTTCACCAACAAGCAATGGGACTTTTCGGACAACAACGTGCAAGGTCTGCACCAGCTGTGCGGTGACGCCGATCGGGCTCTCTTCCCACTCAATATCACCGATCTGCAATGGGATCCCTACCTCAAGAGTTACATGTCAGGGCTCAGGTTGTACCTCCTAAAGGAACCACAGGACAACCTGACCGTCGCGCGCCGAAAATATTTTGCGTAAGTTTTATTTTAATTAGCCTTTTTTATAAAACTCAAAAAATTAAATTATAACTGAAATTTGTCTTAGTTAAATCATCAATTAACTTTTTATTAATTTTTTTTAATTCAAGAAAATTTCAAATAAAATCAATAATTAATATTATGCTTGATAAATGTTTGCAGATTATTCTGTTTGCACCGAGGAATGCAACTGGGCATGTTGTATGGCTCGTTCCGAGTAATCCTAGGACTTTCGTCTGTGTTCTCCAGATACTTGAGGATTGCCAAGTGATCCACACACTGAACGCTTGTTGTGCATTGGAGAGAGGCTCAAAGTGCGAACCGGCCGGCTTGTGGCGATTCGTCTCTTTTGTCTAGTTTGTAGATCTTTATATAGTGACACAAGAAGTAGAGAGATCGTGCTGATCGTTTACCCCCCGTCTGTAACTGTGTGTGCTCATACAAAGCTAGATTGTTTGCTAAAAACACCTATTACCCAATATGATTTTAACCTCAGTGCGTGTGTATTGCGACTCGAGTCTTATCTGTGAATATTTTACCACCTCTTATACCCTTGCGAGTATGTAATTTAATATACATTATATTCATTGAATTTTTTACTGTTTTTTTTCTCCTGTCATTTGGAGCAGTTTTTGTTCAGAGGAGCGAAGTCAGTAGGACGAATTGTGATTTCGTCCGCAAATCTCGCAAGAGAGATTTTTACAGTAGGTCACATCCCGACACTTGCGTTGCTGCATCAAGTTGTAAAATGATGCGCCTCCTATTTATATGCAATGGAGCTAAATGTAAAGAAGTTTTAATGAAATACCTAGTGGTGAATGTTTTTTTGTGTTGTTTCGTCCAGAGTTTTATTATTTTATATCGTTTGACACCTCAGTTTGTATATAAGTGATCTTTTTTGCTACACAATTAATTATATAATGGATTGTAAAAGTATAACACGCTTAAGTGCAATAAAATTTACTACGTGAAAACAAATTATTATCTTCTCATGCCCACACCAAAAATATTAATGATAATCTTTCAATATCAATTTTGATCTTGACCTCTGCCAGAAATGGCATTGATAATGTTTTGAGGAGTAGCAGGTAAGTCGATTTTGACGTGTTTGTTGGTGATCCCGTGGTCCTTCCACACAGCTGCAATTGCGTTCCTCAGGGCGTACAAAACCACTACGCTCACGGTCACGGCCGGCTCTCCAGACGCTGAAAAAACTTTCTTTTTCATTCGGCTCTGAAGTTTTCAAATTTAAAACCTTTAGTCTGCAGAACGCCTTGGTGATTTGGAGCGTTTTTCCTAAAATAAACCCTGAAGTCCTCTGGAATGTCCTTAGTACCAGGAATCTTGTAATCCTTATATAAATAAATAAATTTATCATTTCTTTATTTTTTTCCAAATTCTGACTAACCCCGGTTCCCACAGAGATCAGTCGGCCGTAATTTTCCTTGTCAAAAACGTAGCCCTCACAGAGCCAGTAGCCGAGACCCATCACAAAGGCACCCTCAATCTGACCAACATCCACCAGAGGACTCAAACTGCGTCCCACGTCTTCAAGGACGTCCACTCTGGCTACCTAGTTCCAAAATTTTACCCTAATTGAACGTTTATACAATCAATGAAAACCTTTTTCTGTCCGGTCAGCACATCTAGATGGACCTCGGCTACTGCAGCGAGATAAATGTCATAAGCAATTGTCTCATCCGTTGGCGAGAACATGTAGTTGTAACACAAGTTGACGTTGGTCTCATAAGCCTTTTGAATGACCTGAAGCCAGGTTGCATCGGCGCTTAGCGCCTTTCGGGCCGGTTCAAGCCGCTTGTTTATTTCCGCACAGGCCCTCGTGACGGCCTGTAATGAATAATCCTTGTATGATGATTGGCGTTTTTGAATTAATTCGCAGCCGTTTCCCACGAAACGTTTTAAAGCACGCGTGCTTCAACACTTTAATTGGCCAGAAGAAAGTGTCCGGCGCTCCCTGGGCAAATAAACTTCTAGCGAGAATCGTCGCAGTTTGCCATCGTCAATTATCTATATTGCGCCATCAACGAGCGACAAATCTGAATTTCTCTCTCCCACCCTGACAGTTCTTCAAATATGCAACCCGCACTGCGAAAGAGTCGTGCCGGTCCAGTAACTCACCAGGGAGCACGTGTCACTGCCAATGCTGGCGGCGGTCACAGAATCGTTTGGCGCGGTCAGTGTAGACACGGCCTCCACTTTAATCTTGTCTAGACTAATGCCAAGGGCACTTGCACATGCTTGAGCCACCTTAAAAAAAATAAAGAAAGTAAAATTGTATCAATTTTACCAGTTTTACAACCTTTGTATTGATGCCTTGGCCCATTTCAACGCCACCGTGGGTAATTGAGACGGAGCCGTCAACGTGATACACAGACACTGTGGCGTGGTAATTTCCCCAAAGCAAGAACGGGTACTTTAGAGGAAAGAGCGCGATTCCCTTTTTCATATATTTGTTTTGCTGCGTTCATTTAAATTTTTTTATTAAATTATATAATTAAATATTTAATCATACGTTGTTGAACTCTTCGATTTCTTTTTTGCGCTGCTCAAAATTCGACTTCTCTTTGAGATCGAGCACCATTTGTGGCAATGGACTGTCCTTCCTATCATTTTCAGATAAATTGGCCATTCGCACTTGCCACGGGTCAAGACCAAGCTCTGCAGCCACGTGCTCAAAAACTTCTTCAATGAACACCACGCCTTCTGTTGACCCTGTTATTTAAAGTGGTAAATTATATTATTTAATATTATATTATATTTTTTAGCTCAGAAACCAGCATTCAAAATTATAAGTTAGTTGAGAGTACCTGGTGCGCGGCACCAAGTGGTGGAAGGGGTGTCAGTAAGACATTCAAATGGGGACACGCGGAATCTGGAGCTGTCGTAGCCAACGTCGAAATAGAATTTGACAGTTTTGTACAGCAAGGGCGAGTCATTCACCGAGTGCCCACAATTTTGATAAATGGCGCTGTCCAAGTTGAGGATTTTTCCCTCTTTATCAACATCTACCTATTTTTTTGTTTGTTAATTATTTGATTGTTAAGTTAAAAGAAAAAAATACTTTGAACTCTGTTTTGAGGGCAGCTCTACCACCAAGCAAGCGCATATTGTCCTTTAAGTCGAGAACCAACCGGACAGGTCGCTTTAAAGCATTTGCAGCCACCGCACACGCAACAGCCACGTGCGTCGCTCGTGTAATTTTGCCCCCAAAGCCTCCGCCAATTCTTTTCACTTTTACTTGAACGCTGCCAAAATCACGATTTTTTAGCCATTCTGGTTGCATAACTTTTTCTCACGTATTGGCTGGAACTTTGAGCGCCCTGGAAACGCTACACTGCACCATGTCTGGCCATTGCGTGGCACTGTAAACCTTCATGCCACCCTCCTCAGGCACGCACACGCACGATTGCTGCTCTAATGAAAAGTGAAACTGGTTTCCGATCTATTCAAACATTCATCATTTTCATTCAAACGCCGAATTTTAAATTTTATCATGCTCTATAATAAAAATACCTCCATTTTTCCAGAAATGCTTTTGTGAATTCCTTGCAAAACTGCAAAAATTTATAATTTATTAAATAATTATTATTAAAATTATTTATAATAAAATAATATTTTTTAGGTTTTACTTACGTTTGTCATTTTCAGCCCTGCCTTTCGCAGGACCTACTATGACATTTCGGCCCCCCTTTTTCATGGCCTCATCTATAGTCAGTGTGGGTTTTCGTACTTCACATCTGTACATCCAGTAAGTTAACCGAGAGTGGACTTTAGCAGCAGCGGCCAGCGCCTTAGCCCTAGTCTTTGCCACCACTAATCCCATCATCTGACCGTCCACCTTTGTTTCTCCAGAGAAAAATATCTGAAATGATTAACTTATACTATTTAGTTAAAATTTCTAAATAATTAAAATACTTCCTCCTCTTCCACCATAGACGAGTGGTAATCAAGCGGAATGAAGGAATTTATCCCAGGTACGTTTTTGTAGGTAATAACTGCGACTACCCCGGAGCTCTGTTTCATAAAAATGACACTCAATTAAATTTTAAAAAAATCCTTGGGTTGAACCTTAAATTCTTTTTCAACGTCAGTGACCAAAGCGTCCAAATCAAATCTGCTACCTGGTTTCCCAGAAATTAAAATCGGCGCTGCGTGCAACTCGCCTGTCATTGCTGGCATGTCATTTACAAACATGGACTCTCCTAAAATATTACATTTTATAGTAAAAAAATTGCACTCCGAGCTAAAAACTAGCCAGCGCATTGCTGAAGGGCCTCAATTTTGATGACTGGTTGATTCAAAGGCCACACTGAAGCATCGGTTTCAAACTCTTGAACGCCTCTGGACAACTCATATTGCACATTCAATGGGGCTATAAATAAAATAAAAAATTCACCTTCTTACTAAAAGTGATTTTTTTTTTCATTTTACCCTTATCAGTGAAGCTCAGCAAAAATTTCTTGATCAAATTTAAAGGCAGTTGTGAGCAGTCAGTGCCAATTAGTGAATCAATATTTGCAAGCACTTCGGCAAGCTTTTTACCCTGAATGTTGAGCAGTGCGACCTGAAATTACAATTGAAAATTTGAATGTTAAAAAAAATCGATTCAATCTGGTTCAACCACCGTAAGTGAATTTTGCAAATCGGGGTTACTCTTGAAGCAGGCGCCGTCCTGCACACTCTCCAATCTCACAATCACGTCGCCTTTTAATTCCAAGAGGAACGCGGCAGCCACATATGCAGATGCATTTAGTGTACGATTTGAAACCTTTTATTCGTTTATATGAGGTTTTTGTACTTTTTGTTAAAATAATAACCATACTCTAAAAGTTTGGTAAATGATATCCTTGTCTGGTAATGAGGGCAAAGAAAAGCTTTTAATTAGTGCTATTTTCTGGAAATTCCTCTGCACAGATTCATCTGTCATTTGCAAATTCACTGTTTTGCCATCCTTGTTAACTGCAATTTCGAATTTTAGATTTTTATTAATATTTTTAAGATTTATATTCATAATTATACTTATTTCCATTTGCGCATTTGCTCCAGCAAAAATTACAAATAGGTCAGAGGCGAAAGAGGAGTCAATCAAGTACTTCAACGCGATGTTTCCACCAATTGTTCCAACCTACAAATTATAAAATGCAGCAGATGATTAAGTATTTTTTTATATTTATACAAAAAATTTACATTTCTAGTTTGAAGATTTGCAATCCAGTTTATGTGAGTGTCAATAAACTTCAGGTACTTGAAGCCTGGCTTATCGCTGAGCGATCTTATGAAATTTTGCGTTTCTGTGATAGTTAGTGCGGCGCCGAGGACCACTTTTTTGCCATTGAAGAGTGTTGAACGCAATTCTGGCAAGTCACGGATGTCAATGAATTTCTTAGCTTTGCCAAGCAACTCGTGAAAAATCCCTTCAAAATAATAATAAAAAATATTAAAAAAATTAAAATCAAATATAAAAATAATTAATAAAATAAATAAATGCATAAAATATATAAATATTTTATTTTATGCACTTTTTATACTAATTAATTATAGTATATCAGTATTACTGTACGTAATCTTTTGTAGTTGGTGTCATACTAGAAATAAAATATTTACCATGGGCAGTGCTGCCAGCAACTAAGGAACAGTCCGGATTCTTTTTTAACATCTCTGTAACTTCTTTGCACGTTTGAACTTTTGCAAAGAATCCACCAGACTCTTCCAGGGCAACGTTGTAGGTCAAAGGAACTTTTATTTCCTCGCACTTCTCAGGCCTTTTGCCACAAAATTTTTTTCTCGGACAAAGGTCTTCAATGTCGGACACCCTAGCCTTGCACTCTTCAGAGGCGTCTGCACAGAAGGGCTTAAAGGCCTCCAAAATAGGCCTGTAACCAGTGCAACGACACAAATTGCCGGCGAGAGCAGTTTCAACTTCAGACATTGACACCTCACGCTCGCTTCCTTCAAATAGGCTGTATTTTTTTTTTTAATTTTTTAAATAAACTTATAATAGGTTTTCCAAACCTAGCAGCGCTCATGATGAAACCGGGAGTGCAAAAGCCGCACTGTGTAGCATTGCCAGCAGCAATCGCCGCCTGGACCTTGTTTAGCCCTTCGGATGTACTGCCAAGCCCTTCGATGGTGGTCACCTGCCAGCCATGGCACGAATATATCGGCACCAAACACTTCAAAATAAGAATTATTTATTCATTGATTAGTTATTATTTTTTTTAAATATAATATACAGAATTGACAGCAATGGGGGCCGCATCAGGGGCAGTTTTCACAGTGACGGTGCACGCGCCGCAACCTCCCTCATCACATACAACCTTGGTGCCAGTCAGCAAGGCCACTTCTCTTATAAAAGCTGTCAGGGAACGGTCAAGATCCTCTTTTTTTACTAAATCATAAAAAATATTTCACCATTTTTAAATTTTCATTTTATTTTAGCGACAAGAAAATAATTTTTTGTTTTTAATTCCTCACTTACCGATATGTTCCTCTCCATTGATTGAAAGGTGAACCTCGATTTCTTCACGTTTACCCATCTTAGCCTCTTGAAATTAGGCTTGATGGGTTTAATACAGGGAAAACAAAATTTATGATGGACCGACTGAATCAGGAAAACTTAAGCACGCTTGAAGCATAGGCGAGGCGCCCGAAACACAGACTGACTAATAATTTAAACAAGATGCCTAGATAAGAATTCGGGGATCAAGAGGGGGAGCCTAAATTATCAGTTAATTAACTTTTTGGTGCTCGCGAGCCAGCTGGTGTTATTCAACTGACTAAATATTTATTTATTTTTGGCACTGCTTTAACTAAATTTTATAACTTTTAAAAAAAATGAGCATTAATTTTTGTATTCAATAATATTGTAAGAATTTAGCAACTATCGAACTATGTAAATTTGGTGTGAATGAAATTTCGAAATTAATATTATATTATATTATTCAATATTATTTATTTGTCAGATTTTACGCAAAGTACCAATTTTGTGTGTAGTAAAATATGTATAATAAAATAATCGTTATCTAATTGTATCGTTCGGCACAAACAAATAATAAAATGAAATAAAATAACGAAGGCTATTTTTCCCAACTATACAAAAATTCATCAAAATTAAATCAAAAAGAACATTGACCCCGACGTGACTCGAACACGCAGCCTTCGGAACTGGAGTCCGACGCGCTACCATTGCGCCACGGAGTCGCTTAGTTGAGCTGAGCGAAGTTTTTGTTATTTATCCTATGCATTATGAATCCGGTTGCTAGGATACGGATAAGGCTTATAACGAGGGCTCAAATCCGGCCGAAATTGATAACTGTTATTTAATATTGGTTATTTTCTTCAGAAATTATAAGGAAGCCGTACATAATGAGCACTAGAGCGGTAGAGCGAATAAAGACGCACTAGAGCGGTATGACGCATGCGCGCCAGTGCGTTGGAGGAGAGGCGCGAGTCGCGAGAGACGCTCGAAAAGCCTGCTCCTCTATGTATTCACTGCTACCCATTGATTTAATAGTATTTTATCCTTTTCCCTATTGATTTGGCTTTTGATTAACAGCTCAAAATTACTACATAGTATTATATTATTATAAAGTGTACATTTTAGGAGAAATAGACATTTCTAAATAAAATAAAAATTAAAATATTTTTCGTAGAGTGACTGAAGTGTAAAAGATAATAAAATCAAATTTCGCAATACAATAATAATTCATAATTATAGTTTTTTTTATTTTTTTAATAATTATACTTGTTTAAAGAACAGGATGAAAAATGTTTTTCCGGGTATCCATGGATTCTGAATTTCTTAAAATTCAATTCAATTCAAAGGGATTCCATGCAAGAAAGAAAAACAATTATTAAATAATTTTTTGCACTTTTTTTCTTTATTTGCTTGAATTAGTACAAAATAAATAGACAAAATCGTTATTTACAATCGGCACAAATGGTAAAAGAATTTTTTATTGTTATAGATTGTCGTTTATCCTACTTATAGCGATAAAATAAATAAAAATAATTTAAATCTTTTTTTGTTAGAGATAAAACCCACGCCAATTTTTATTGCTCGATTCATGCTTTCGATTTCCAGTGTTTGGACATCAGTGGCACTAGAGCAACAAAAACGCGCCTGTGTACCCGACACCCTCCGCTACAATTTTCCGTCCTCTTGAGAACCGAAAAAGTGCACGCACCAGTTCTGCGCGCACCCAAGTGTCTGACCGCGTCTCCGAGAGTGAAAATTATCAGAGTTCACTCTGAAACGCGGACGCCGTGGTTAGTTTAAAAAAAGTCAGTTGGCATTTCGAGATGGTCACTAAGAAGAACGCGAGACTCTTTCAATGAAAAAGTCACGTCAACTAAAAAATCGCAAAAAAAAACTGGTCGTGTGTATATTAGTAACTTCGTCTTTCGAGGTTTGTTCAACAGTGTGCCCTTCCTTGCTCAGCTTTTTTCCAGAACAAATTTGGCTCAACCCAAACAAAACATTTGACTCAAATCTTAGTGACGAAATACAAAGAGATCAGTCAAATTCTTTCGTTACTGGAAAAAAAATTTAAAATTATCTTCGACCCCGAAAAACAAAATTCTTTTCGCACAATTTAAGAAAGGGAACACAGCTAAATGTTTTAAAAATTAAAATGAGTTAATGCACTTTGTGGGTCAGTCAATCTGAATCAGGCGTCCGCGTAGCCTTTGCCGGGCATCAGCCAGTTCTTGGCGCAGTAGCAGCTAATGGTGCTCACATACAGGAGGGCCAAAAGGGCGCAGGTCACAGACAGGGCAAGCAGTGTACCGCGTCCTGAGCATGGCTCGCTGCTCACTGGGGTCACCAAGGGCTCTGTAAAAATTGAAAAATAATTGTAAAATATTTAATAATAATAAGTAAAAAAGGAAATTTTACCATCAAAGTCGGCAGAGGGCGTCCTTCCAGGCTCAATGGGTGAACGAAGGAAGTCCTTGTTCTTCTCATCTCCGAAGTCAAGGACAAGGATCTCCTGGCTGATGGACATGTCATCCTCGGACTGCTCCTCGCTGGCGTTGACAGCACGCCTTCTCCTCTTGCCCCAAGACTCAACTCCAGCATCACAGACGGCCTTAAGAATTATTTTTATTTAATTTTATTTACATTTTCTCTAATATGTGAATTTCAGGATAAAAAAATTACTTACAGGCTCACAGGGTCCAAGACAGTACTTGACGTTGCACTGGAAGATGACTCCGTACGATTCGGTGAAACGGAAAGCCTCATACACAGACTGCAGTGCGTTACCGTCGGGCTCAAAAGCAGGGAAGATGGTGGAGTCAACAGGGCAGCTGTAGTTTAACAGAAATTAATAATTTGAAATTTCATTTAAAAAAATAAAATACCCATTCTCGTCAATGATTTCAAAGGTGCTCTTTGAGTCCTTGGCCATGGCAACGCAGCTCCTGGCAAAGATTCCATAAGGAGCTGAACAAAATTGCAATTAATATTTTGACGCTAAATTTTTGCTTCAAATTTACTGTCGTCGGGAATCTCAATGCGGAAGGTAAGCCTGTCTCCAATGCGCACAGTTTCAACCTCTCTGCGAGCACCGTCCACGATTCTGATCCTCGGGGGAGGAGCCTCGGGAGCAGAGGTGATGCTGATCATCTCAGGATCTCTGATAGGCATCATTCCAAAGGTTACGTCCTTGGGCGACATGTCATAGGTGCACTTGACCTTGTAGATTTTGTCAGCCTTGGTCATGACGACGCTGTGGTGTTGCAGGATGACAGTATTGGTGAACACGCCAGACTGTAAATAAAATTTATATTTTTATTTAAACATGTTTTTCAACAGGAACAGAAAAAACTTACCACAGACTGAGTGTTACAATCCTGGCCGCTCATGGTCAGGTCAAGACGGAAGGTGTCAGATTCAACGACGTCAATGTTGCAGGTCTCGGAACGTCCAAGGGCGTAGATGCGGCCGTTGAATGGCTTGTTGGTGCGCACAGCCACAGCAATACGTGTGTCCTTGCAGTTGACGGTCACTATTTTTACCAGAAAAAATAGATAGAGATAGAAAATTTAAACTTAAAATAATAGGCAAACCATCATAGCAAGTTCCAGTCTTGTCACAGTTGATGTCCGAGCGAGTCTCGTTGGTGAGAGTGTTATCTTCGATTTTGTCCACAGTGACAGGCAAGGTATGAGGGGAGGCTAAAATTAATTTTTTGTACATTATTAAAAAAATGCAAATTAAATTAAATTAATTAAATATTTAAATTTCAAAAAAAAAATAGTGGTTATTGCTTACATTGTTGGTCGCAGTTGTTTTCGAAGTAGGAACCGGCGGTGTCTCCAGTGTCAATGAGGGGGCGCTCGGCGGTGAGGAAAGTGCTGGGGCCATCAGGGAGAGAACGGTGGTCCAAGTGGAAGAGCTGGCAGTTGTACGAGCTCTTATCACTGCGGTAAAGGGCCGATCGGCATAGGAATTCACTCTCGACCTCGCAAGCGCGCTTGCACGCCGCCTCAGAAGGAGCCTGCAATTCCTTGTCAATGTAGAAGTTCAAAGCCACATACTGAGAGATCTTGTCATCGGCAACGCCGATGCGTGGGGCCTGGAAGGTCTTCTTGCCCTTGCAAGCATCAGCACCTGAACAGAATAAATAATTTAAATTTTTAATTCATAAGCTGGTTATATAAAAAAGTAAATTACCATTGAGACAGAGATTTTCAAAGTAGTCAACTCCGGGTGAGTCCACGAGCTGGCTGAGGGGTCCGGTACCGGCAGTTCGGCGGTCGGTGTCGCTCAGGTGGCACTGCAGACTAGCGTAGTTGTACTCGGCCGAGCGGCAAATGAAGCGTTTCTGCAAATAAAGCACCGCGTGAAGTGGCTGATTTCTCGGTTCGCTGAATTTTTATCGTGCAAAAGCCAATTATTTTCAAATGACTTTCTGCCCAATTTTCGCTGACACATGAGAAGGACATGATTTTTCGTGGGAACGACAAAATCTCGGAATAGCTAATGGCAATTTTTATCTTAAAATAATTTCACATTTCTACCTCATTCAGACAAGCAGCCAGACAGGCTTCTTTGCTGGAAGTGTAGATGAGAGCGTTGTCCAGACCCCTGATGGCCTTATTGGGCACCCTTTCGAAGGTCCAGGGACGCGCACAAACATTGTCTGAGAGAAATTAAAATTAATTTTGGAAAATTTAAAAACAGTTTTCTACAAACCTGATCTGATCTGGACCTTGACCATGTAGTACATGTTGACTGCCCTTTGGGCCGTGGCAGTGGGGTTGGAGGCCTGCGTCTCATTCTGCAGCTGGCACAGAGTTTCCTGAACTGGGGTCAGAGGATTCGGCACAAAACTGAAGGCGGCGGCCAAGCAGTTGGGCTCCTGTCGACACCAACCCTGGCACTCGCTCAGAGTCAGGTTTTTGGCTGTGTAATAAGAAGTGCCGCGATAGTCGTAGTCAGTCAACTTCTCAAACGCCATCCGCACTGCAAAATAATAGAATAATATTTATTTATTTATCAGATGAAGATTGCACAATTGGAGCTCGTTAAATTTAAGTTCGTGTTTGAACTTTGAATTGCTCGTGAATTACGCTCAGATTGTGACGAAAATGGACCTTTGATTAGGGTCACGATCTGTTCGCAGCCATACAAAAAAAAGACCGATCGCTTTATTACTCATGAATGAGCCTCGCTAGATCGTTTGGCAAAGGAAATGTATTTTTCTGCGCGGTCGTGAGGCGGCGTCCACTTATGAGTTAATTTGCGTGCAATGCAGCATCTCTCGCGTTCGCACGCATCCCGAATTGGCGCCGAATAAAATGCATAATTGTGTCGGCGTGCAGGCGCATTATTTTCAGCGCTCGCCCGCTTAATTCCCATGCGATTACGGTGCTCGCTCGTGGTCTCGTCGCCGGTCTATCCTTAGCAGGCAGACCTTGCTGGTGCCGCTAACGGGAACAGCGCCGACCCAGTGAGACTTGAAAGATACAAATCGCTCCTTACACCCACCTCTTGCATGAGGTCATTGTCAGTGTTGTTTTGTGTGTGTGCTTTTGTTCTGCATGCTCTCTGGGTCACGCGACAGTAATCACAAGTATAGAAAAGAAAAAGATATAGATGCTCACCACGCGCTGCTGGATAAACGAGTATAGGAAATGAAAATAAGAAAGACTCTCGGTGAATGGACTGCCTTGAGCTTCAAAGAGAAGAATGGAAATTTGATTCCTTAATATTTATTTTACACTGAATGTAAATGGGACTCGAGATTAAAGCAGAGCTTTGATTCATAAATCTTCTCTGATTTGAATTTTAAATTTGTGGATGCTGCTAACTTGAACAAACTGTGCAGCATTAAGAAGAAAAGAAATTATTATTAATAAAGCATTCTCTTGAAAGCAATTTAAATCATTCGGCTGCATATTTTATTCTGTATTTCGCAAATTGAGAAGTAAAATACTTTAAACATCAATTCATACTTATTCCCAACAAAAAGAGTGATGAAGAATAATTAATCATTTGATATCTTTAAAAAGAAGATTCAGAAAATATTGTTTTACGGTTATTTAAATTTCTTGCAAAGAACAGGGGTTTTCATTTAAATTTGTTTGAAATTTAAATACTTGAGCTGTCTTCATTTTGTTAAGACAATGACTATTGGAATGCTGATGTGCCTGTACTGCCTGTTATTTAATTGTAAAGTATAAACAAAGTATTTATTATGCAGCTCTAACTACCTAGACTTTTTTAATTAAGACAATCTCATTCCCATTGTGTCTTTCCGGATGAGTTCTTGGTTATAACGTTAATTCGATTAGTGCCGTTTGGCGCGACTTCACACGCTCTTTTATATTCACTGATGCTCTTCATCTTTTTGGTTCCCTTTGTTCCGTTTTCTGCGATAAAAATACCACACAACGAGCCGAAAATTTGAAAAAAGCCGGCTAACCTACTTGCGCACACAAAAACCGCATCCGAAAATTACATGCAAGTGTGAGAAACAAAAAACTTGAGTTCACATGACGGCCGGACAGTTATGGAATTGCAAGCAAGATTAGCCAGATTGTGTGACATGAAGAGAGCGGCCTTCGTGGGAATTTCTCGGCTTTTTAATGCTCCACCGCGACAACCGCCGAAAAGCGCGATGGTCCCGTTAAAGTCTTAATTGTCCGGCAGCGATTGAAAAGTGGCAGAGCGCGCCGGTAGCGGCTGATTAATGTTTATTTAATTGCTCTGCTTTTGGTTGCGCGAGAGATGCGCCAGTCATCGCGCCACATTATGCTCAAGACGGACGAGAGCAGATATGCAAAATATTACTCGTGCGAACGGTACTTCTATACTCTGCTTCTCTTTGGACTCGCATTCCGCGGCCGTGCATTTATTTCAAAGATTCTTTATTCTCGAAGGCAACCATACCACTCTCGGAGGTCCTTGAACTTTTCTCTTTCAGCGATACAAACGATAGCATTATCACAATCAAGATTCTAAAACTAATGACTTTGTTTGTGGCAAAACCTTTTAATTTGACAGGTGGAAACAATAATCAGATTTTATCTTGTCCCATTATCTCGTCAAGTGAGCAGCCGTTCAGTCCATCAAAAATTATAAAAGAAGAACCAAATTTTTTACCTATGACTCAATTTTTTAAATTTTTAGAGGTTCTTTGTATTTTTAAAATGTGACAAGTGGCAACGAGAACCTTTTAAAAAACAGCTAGGACTTTGTTTATTTTTTTCCCGTGTCCGGCCTATCAAAAAATTTTTTGCACCTTGCAGTCACGCCTCGCAAACAATGTGTGGACAATGGGCCCAAACATTTTCGCGCTTGTCAGCACCTTCAGTTTTTTTTATGGACGCATGCTAAATTTACATATTTTTGTCATGCTTCGAACGTCAATCACGCGTGTGCTGTTTTGTTTCGCGATCGAGTGAACTCTTAGCCCACATACTTGTGCATGCATCAACTTCCTTTGCTCCTACACACCCGATCGTGCTCCGTGTGTTTTCACACGTGACGAGAGCGAATGAAAATAAAAACGACAAAGTGACACTCACTGTTTTTGGCGCCCATGCCGGGTTGGAAAACGGCGAGGGCGGCGACGAGCAACGGCGCCCAAGAGGAAATCGACATTGTTCTTTTTGGGTGCTGACAAATTCTGAAACAAAACAAAATTGCACTTCAATAAATAAATAATATGCGAATGTTGAAAGGTGGAAGAATACAATAAAAATAATAAACTTAAGTAGAAAAAACTCGGCAGTTTCCTGATCCACAAAAAGATAGTGCTATGGTATTTAAAATTTTTGCTCGTATAAAGCAATGAAACAATATATGTTTGTTCTAAAAAAAAAAGGTAAAAAGAAACGGAAGAACATAGCGATTATTTCTTTTCTAGAGAAAATGAAAAAGTTAATTAATACCCATTATGAAATTTCACAAATTCAATTAGAAATATTTATGTAGAGTCATATAGAATAAAAAATGAACAACCATCGTTGCTTTTATTTACAATTTTAAAAACTTTTTAAAGTTTTTAAAATTGTAAATTTAAAAATAATAAAAATTAGTATTTGTAACTTATTCTGCAAGGTTTTTGTATGAACCTAAAATATCTATACTGAGATTTAATGGTTTTGCTTTGATTCATCTAATAAACCATTCGAAATATATAGAATTTACTCGTTAATTAAAACAAAACCAGGAAGCGGTACTCGGCGTTTAAATTCTGTTCCGCCACTAATCTGGGTCTTGACGCGCACCTGCTGCTTTAGTAATAACAGTAATTTGCTCCTCCTTTTTTGCTAGCATTGCGCTGCTCTTCTTCATTAGCTACGATCATTGCGCCGCTGCTTCAAAGAGACGCGAGGCGCCAAACGGCCCTTTTGTGTGTCTCCAGTATTAACACAATGGCCCAATTTCGACGTAGTCACTCGAAAAAACAAGCCATTTTTCGCGCAGAGCAAATAACTTATCGACAAAGGACGTTCTCATCGTGCGGCTCACAAGAGATTTTCCCGTTAAGAGCCAACGACGAGATTGTCATTGATGATTGCACCTCCATGATGCATTACCGTTCATAATAACTAACGACCTGGATAAAGCGCATCGGCCGCCGCGTGCTGCACAACAATTTATGCCTTCTTTATTGGCATAATGATATGATATAAGTATAGCGGACACTTCCGGCCATTCATTTGTTTATGAATTCCTTCTGTTGTGGCCGAGAAGCATACTTGTGCATAAACTGGGTCTCCATTCGCACGTAATTATAATTATGTAATCCAAATTCATCCGCCGCGGCTCAATAGCCATGAAATTATACACATACGAGCGGCGAGAAATATATGGGCCGCTTTAATTGTATTTTGTGAACACAATTTTATCATTTTTTCTTATTATAAAAGTAATCCGAAGAATAAGTAGAGCAAAAATTTTATTTTTGATCCAAATCATTTTGTCGGATACGCGTCATTGTGACGCCTGGCAACTTAATCAAATGCAAATTACTACCGCTCGGAGACTGTTGGGTGGAGCATCCGTTTGTATTCATTGTCTGGCAAGCAAAGGGTAAAAATTTGGTTTCGTTATTTTTTACCTTTGGCTTTGAACAGCAGATCTGTAAAGTATGTTATTTATGGTTATTTAATTAAATAATATATTTATACAGTTGCAGTTCATTTGCAGAAACTTTTGGCTTGTAAACCAATTTGACTAACGTTTTGTTCGTGTTTCATTTTACGCATATGTACGCATTTCCTCTCCCATTTCAAATGTCGCAAACAAAGAATTTTAGGTTGCCAAAAACCAATGTCAGGACAGGAAATAATAAAATCATAACATATATCGTCACAAAAGCTTTGCGTCACTCATCATTCGCCAACAAAAAAGAGGATCATTTTTCAAAGTGCAACTTTTAGTTTAGCATCACGCATCACACTGGTGACTGGATTAAAATTAAGACTAAGATGAGACTTAAAATATGGATTATATTGATTGTTATCAGCATTGCTTGTAGCTTGGTAAGCAAAGCATACCCTGTTTAGCATAAATTTTGATATTTAATAAATATAAAAAAATACTAGAAAATAAAACGCCGGAACCATAAGTTGAGGGCAGGCTCTCAAATATCATCAAGAGCACGTACATTGGTATCTTGAGTTAAATATTTGATAATTAGAAGAAAAACTTTTTAGTGGCTAGAGCACCTCGTCAATACATTGTCAAATGTTGTGGAAGGCGAAGCTGCTTGGCAACTAGCAAAAGGGGACGAAATAAAAATTCTACCTTGTTCAAGAAAGACAACAAAGAAGTGGAAACTAGTGAAAATTGGATGTTTGAATGTACCGAAAATTAATCACTTCTTTTATCTTTTAGCTAGTACTGGTTATGGCGATCTTGTCGAGATTGAGACGTCTTTAGATGCACAAAATGATGAAGGGAGTACTGCATCAACGGACGGTAGCGCAGGCCCCTCTGAGCCCTCTGAAGAAGCACAAACTGAGTTGACAATTGAAAATAGCCAACCCACAACAGAAGCAATTAAAAGCACGAGATATGATGGAGCTACGACTCAATTTGAGCCAAGCACAAAAACTACTGCTGTTGTCACAGTAGATGTCCCTTCAAGTTTGTCCACCTTACTATCAGAAACGGTTGCATCTACTGCTTTAACAACTACTACAGTGAGACCAACGACAACAACAGCCGTATATTCAGAAGGAATATTAAATTTCAATTAATTTTTATTAAAAAATTTACGTTTCAGTTTTGTTTCAAATCATCCTGTGACTCAATAAAATATCCGAAAACAACAGTGAGTTAAATTTACAGAAAAATTAAAAAAAAAATTTTGATAAAAATTTGCAATAGGCTCCCGCAGTTCCACGTATGTGATTTTGCAACTGATTATAAACTGAAAAATTATCTTGGTTCTTTCTTAAGTTTCCACCCAAAGGCTAACTGTGTGCGGACGTGTTTATGAAATCGGCTTTCAGCAAGTATAACAAATCAAATTATAAATTAATAATGGCAGAGAATTATGAATTAATGTGATTCTAGGTTGCTCTGCCTGAAGCTGCTGCAGACTGCCAATTAAAAAATGCGTCACTCTTGTCACTAATGAAAATCACAGAAAAGCAATGTTTACTAAATTTATTCCAAAGTATATTAACTTAATTACGGTTAATTTTTATTATTTTTTTTTTTTTAAATTAGATCTCAAAATGACGGAGGCCACGTTTTGGACAGGGGGTTCTCAGGAAGGAGGCAACTGCAGTGACGCAAAAGCAGGAGCTTTGTGGTGTTCCCTCCCTGAAAATCCAGCCGCAACCATTGACCCTTTATTATGGTCAGCCAGTCAGGTTGTGACAACTGGTGCCGACTGTGTTGCCTTTAAGTTAGCAACAGATGCATCGCTGTCAGGCTTAACAATGGCCCTCTGCAGCAGCAAAATGAGCCACGTTTGTGAAGTAGAAAATTTTTCATTAAGTTGAAAACTTTTTCATAAAACATTTTGCAGCCTGCTTGTGATAAGTTTCTGTGTCCAGCAACTATACCATTAAATGTAAAAATTCTTAATAACCACGTTCCATTAAATAACTTATTTTTTTTTAAAGGATTCTCTGGTTGATGCAAATAAAGCACTGATAGGTTTGGAAATAAATTTTTTTAATGGAACAATATTGACTCAAAAGTAGAGCCAGCAAAATATTGTTACTGGGTACATGCGTGTGGCAAACATATTTTGTTTGGAAACAAGCCAGTGCGTAAAATTTTCTAGGTTCCAATTTAAATTTTGGCATATTTTTCTTCACAGGTAACGTGGGATGAGAACTTTGCAATATGCAATTCCATTGGAATGAGACCACTTGACATAAGCTCACCTCAAATGATGACCTGCTTAAATAATCTCACCAGTGGTAATAATTTTGTTAATATTGTGAGAAATTTAAAATATAAAAAATTATAGCCAACTGGAAATATAATTTTAACTACTGGACCGGTGGAAGTCAGCGAGGTTGTAAGGGCCAGTGGGCTTTCTGCCCATCTGGAGACCCTGTGCCTGACGAAGCATGGCTGCCAGGACAACCAGACAATGACGGAATTCAGGAATGTGTGCACCTGCGTATTTATGACAAGAATAAAACTCTTGGCGTTCGTCTATCAGACAGAAATTGCACCGATCTTTACATTTACGCGTGCGAAATGTTGTTGCCCAGTGACGTAAAATGCATTTCTGCCACTAAGTGTCCTTCATTGGATTTGTGCAAAAGAGAGGTATTTGATAAAAGTGTCATCTTTTCAAACCAATTCATTTTACTCAAACTTTGTAAGCCGAGTTTGTTTGATGCGGATCAACGTTTAAAAAGTATTGTTTTATATTCAGAACGTAATACTATATTAATTTTCAAATAGATATGAACTCGTATGGAAAATGGTTCTCCTCTTGTGGGCGACACTTCTTGTTTTCTGCAGCCAAAGTACTATAAATTTCGTTTCTGAAAATGTAAAATAAGTAAAAATGATAGGCCACATGGGAGAATGCAAGAGCGACCTGTTGTTCACTCGGATTCAGCCTTCTTGAATTGGACAGAGTTTCAAAAAATGAGTGTTTTGCGAAATTGACCAAAAGCAAGTCATTATTCTTTTAGCTCTTAAGTAATTTGTATTATTAATATATAAAAAAAGGGTATATCAATAATAAAACATTGGAGCCCAGCGAATATTGGACCTCAGGGACCGATACGAACTGCGCTGGCAGTTTCTCGTGGTGCTCCTCAGGACGCAGAATAAACGATCCTGCAGTCAGGTGGAAGTCAGGTCACCCGACCACAGGGTGCATCCTGACAGACACGTCAGTCTTAACTGACAATATGACCTCCATCGGAACTGACAATTGCGGCAGTGAAAAATATTTCATTTGCGAAGTTAATGATAAAAGAAAAATTATGGCTTTGCCTGATCGTATAAAATTTTAGAAATTAATGAAAGGGGATAACGGAATTGGGAAACAATATGAATGCATGGTCACGTGGGACCTCAGTGCCAGTAAGTGAAAATTTACCAAACTAATTTATGAACTAAATAATTGCGATTTTTTTAAAGAGGATCTTTCTATTATTGAATTGGGTATAAAGAATGTGTCAAATTTACCTCAACATGTCAGGGTGCGAAATTTTTAAAGAGAAAAATTATTCGGTAGCAATGTTTTTTTTTTGTTTTTTTTTTTTGCAGTGTTTCTTAAAATGTATGGGAGAGAGCGTTGGAATGGTAAAATGATAACACGTCATAATAAAAGAGTTTATGTAAAAAGAATAAAATGCAGTTTTTGAATGGCAAGTATATCAGTGAAGAATTACTAAGGGCCATTGAGGCCCAAATAGAAGAACCAACGGAACTGCAGACTGCATTTGTTGGAGCAAATGAATGCGCTGGAAAATGTAATTTTTGCCTATTTTTAGCCACTTTGTGCTTTTGTGAAAATTAAATATTACAGCTACAGCTGATGAGTGCACGACAGCGGCAGAAATTTACAAATGCGGGCTTGACAAAAACCCGGCACTAGTTGTGAAAATGGTCACTACAAGCAATTCTTCAGGTGTATGGAAATATGGCTTCTAAAAATTATGTCAGATTAAAAATTAATTAAATAACTTTTTGAAGGATGGAAAACCAGATGGCTGCCTTGTTGATAGAACTTGCATGATAACGGGAAATGCTCTGTGTGTTAGAAACGTAAAAATAGTCTGAAATTAAATATTCAAATATTTTTAACTTTGATTTTCAACAGCAAACATTTATTGACACGATAGCGAGTGACCGTAAGATGAAAATATTTAAATTTTACCTTCGTTTTGCAATAATAAATCATATGCTAATTTTAGCCGCATTCGGATATACTTTGACTTCTCCCAAAACAAGCATATATTATGCTCATGAGAAAATTGGCCGAGTAAGAATTTTGGCCATCGCACCAATAAAAATTTTAATGCTTCAATTGAACAATATAGACTTTTGAAGAGGCGTTTCAGATTTGTTGCAACGTTGGCAGGAAACTCTATATTCCAGGCGTAACTTTAAAAATCCCTAATAAACAGCTTTTTGAATATAAATGCTTATTATATTATTATAATTATTAATGTTGCGAATCATTTGCAGATCAAGGCACTCGCCGCTTGGGATATCTTGATATTGTTTAACCCACCAACTGTAGGCGCGGCCGACATTAAAAGCAAATGTGAGTTTCGGAATAAATATTATCAAATTTTTATGCCAACGTGTGTATTTTTAGGGGTAACCAAGTTGACGTACATATCTGAGACAAAAACTGTCGGCGCACTAGAGGCGAGTTGCGCAAATTCATCAGCACCGGACAACTCATTGTTCTTCCAACACCACCTTTTCCCAAATCAATCAGTGCCCAGACTCTGCCAGCCAAGCGTGGTTGTCATGAAAATTGACCAGGCAAATCCAGCTTATATGCTAATTGCTCGAGATGGTATTGCGCCTGATATTGGAATCGGTGTAATGTGCCAATGAATTTAAAAACAATAATGCTTGACGATTTATTACAATTATTTGGATCAATACAATTTATCAAGGTCTTCTTTTTCCAAATAAATTTTGGAATGTCTTTTTTACTATTATTGTTGTTGTTGTTTATTTGTACTCTGATGATGGAATGCAAAAAAAATATCATAAGAGAGCCTGGAGGCAAGGACGCGTCAAAAATACAACATTAGTCAGCAGCCGATCTGCAATATTTTTTCATCTAATAATTTTCAAGGCAAACAGTTTGAGTGAACGAGTCAGTGACCCTCCCGACGCGAATTAATTCCGAGCGCCTTCGCATTATTGTTTGCCGAGCGTACATAGAAATGCGGCGGTGCGAATTGCCATGTGAGAAGGAAGCGAAGAAGTGCGTCTGCTTTGGATAAAAAAGCAATTAAACGCTCGTTAAAAGTAGGCGGAATTTGAATAGATGCATTTCTAATGAGCTCACATATTGTGTGTGCCTAATTTTCTTGAAAGAGAAGAAGAGTGAGAGACGAGAGATGTACAAGCACAGAAATTCTGATATGAAAATTTTTCGTTTGTTTGCGCGGAGGTGTTAAGTTCAAAGACCTAGCGCAACGTGCGAGCAGCACCCACGAAAGGTGTCATTAAGTTATGATTGGCCCGCTAATGGGCGATGCTATTTTCACTTTCCCGAGAGATGCTGCGTCGCGGATAAGACTTTTTGCACAAACACGTCTTGTAATTTGCCACGCCGTCGACAGAAAAAAAACCCAGCCAAACTTTTTGGACAAAAAGTGAGGAAGAGACAAGTTGGTGCATGTGAAAAAAAATTGAAAACTGGGATTGCCCTGAAATTGGGTGCGAAGCGCTCTCATTCCCAAAGGTGGCCTGGAAATTGATTTCTTTGGATGCTCTGTCTGCCTCCGATTTGTCGTGCGAACTTCACACGAATAATAATATACGTTTTCCTTTTGTTCACTTTGAATCAATTTTGATTCGCGAGAGCTCCATTGAATTTGTCCTGTCACCTTGTAAAAGGTAACAAGGTGTAATAAATTATATAAATTGCCCCACATCGGAAATCTATAATAATCCTTAAACCTCACTTCTTTTTTTTTATTCTAAAATTTACAAGGAAATTCGTGATGAAATTTCTCACGTAACTTTTATATAGAGAGAGGTTCCGGCGTAAAACTGGGAATTCATTACAGCTGTCAGCAGCACAGCGCCATAAATTTGTTAACGGGAGTTTTTTTTCTGATTTTTTTTCCATTTGTAATAAATTAAAAAATACGCGAGCCGTTCATAAGACACGCACGCAAAGAAGTGCCACGAGAAGCTTTTAGCAAAAAAAAAAAAATGTAATTATCTCGCGGGGTGCATGTGGGCATCAACGAGGAAGCAAAAATTCACCTTAAAACGAAAAGAGCTGTGGGAAGTGCAAATAAATTAGTGGAGTACATGAACCCGACTGAGTAAACCTAACGGTCTCTTATTTTTCAACTCCATATGTATAAATGCAATTCCTCGGATCGGCCGCCGTTTTTCATAGGTGTTCTAATTGGACCATAATTGACACTTTTCGCGACGGCCGACAAGCAAAAAAAGACACGTAAAAATAAATGTTAAGGCACTTTTAGTAGCGACTTGCAATTCTGCACGGAAAGTCCCACGATTTTTTAACTACATATAAAAGTACCAACTGTCAGGTAAATTAGTCATGCACTTTTCCATGCTGATTTTGCACAATTCCACGCCATTTTTCGTTTATCTTACATCTTAGGGTCCATTAAAAACGACTCATCGCAATGCACCAACAGTTGGATCTTTCTCTATACAATTGAAACAGAGGATCCTGTTCGGTTTCCCTGTAACTTGCTAATTGCATTTTAACTTCAACGAGAGACAAAAACCAGCGTGTCTCAATAGAGTTAGGAATTTGTCAGCCTCTTTCAATTACATCATCAACCAGAAAGGTGAGTGGCCCTTGGCTTGTTCCGTACCTACCTCAATTGCATCAAAAATTCTTTTCCCATCGAGAACAAAGTCTAGCTCATGTCTCTCGAGTCAATAAAACAAGCAGAGCCAAGAATATGTGGGTTGAAAATACATTGCGTGCTGCGAATTGGTGAACACTTGGCCTCAAACCGCGCCGCCAAATGTGATTCACTGGTTTGAATATAATTATTTTTACGCCACCGTCACGACTGACAAACATCTGCCAAAATTTGTTGCAGACCCATTCGTTGAAATTACCCTCGAGCGGTGGCGAGCGCTGAGCCATTTATCATAATTTGCACTGACAGCGTGTTAGCATTCAAATTGCACCTCGTGTTGGGATAATCTCAACAAAACGGTGAAATACTGCTGATTTTTTTTAATGAAAAGATTACTTATTTATTCAACAACATCTTGAAAAATCTAATCTAAAAACAATAATCCATCTTGGGAGAGAAAAAAAGGATATTCGAAAAAGATAAAAATTAAGAATGAAAATATTTCATAATATATTTTTCATCTTTATAATAATTGAATCATGTTTTGTCTCTTACTATTCACTATTCGCTCATCACAAATGGAAAAAGGATATGATAATAATCATGTGATAATTAATTATTTGGTTGAAATTTAAAAATAGAAAGTTTCAAACAATTTTTTAATTTTTTTAAAAGGGCTGATTAACTATTATATGCACAAGCAAATAATTAAATTAAATAAGCAGTAAATAATTTAAATAACTTTAAATAAATAATAAAATAAATAAAATATTTTAATTAATGACAGAAACTCATTTATTATTTATTTTGTAATATCTTTAATAGCATACTAAAAAGTTTATTATATAAATACTCTAAATATAAAAATAAACTGCAATTTGATATGCGGAATTGGTATGAATTTGAGAAGAAGTACCGTTTGTGCGCCCTGAGCAACCCCTTATTTGACACCCGATACAGCGGCGGCCGCTGCCACTGCCGGCAGCTGAATGGGCGAGAAAGGTCGACGAACCGCTCGTCGTCGACAGGTGCTCTGTATAATGCAGCCGCGATGCTGGCCGGGGGAACAGTTAGCCATAGGAAAGAAGACGCTCTTGCTTTTTGTGCGTCCGACAATCAGAGTCGTGCCGACAGCAGCTCGATTTTAATTATTCCGTGCGAGAATGAAATCGAGAGAATCTGATTACACACGCCGATTCAAATCTCCCAGTCGAGCGCACATTTATCGACTGCTTTTTGTCGACGTGCCTTTTTCTAATTTTCCTTTCTTCACGTCCCAGGGGCGTCTCATAAAGTAAAAAATGCTTTTCCTCCACAACAAGAGAGTGTAATTAAATAAATCGGCGACCACCGGTGCCCCGGGTTATATTGTGTAGAGGAGTATTTGTAAAAAAAATAAAATATTTTTTCTGTCAACAGAGAAGATTGGACTTTCATCACGATTCCCTTTTTTCTCCTTTCGCCAAAATCATTACGAAAATAATTTTTTTAATCAAGCTGCTTTTTTTCTTGGTACTCACGATCTCTGAAGACCATAAAATGACACACTTGAGGTGCGAATTATCTCCGGTCTGCAAATCCTGTGTGTATATAATTGTTTCTTTGGCTCATTTAAAAACGCCCAAAACCACA